CATCAGAACCAGCCTTCTGGATTCAGTGAGATCAGCTAGATTGCGCATGCCAATTTGTCTCCTTGAGTAGACTGGGTCCGCGGGAACTAAAATCTAGACTTTACGCCATACCCGCCACTGACAGGGTGCATACCCGCATAAGCTTAAGCTAGCCTATGATCTAGTCCTACCCGATTCGGTCGGTTACACTCACGTTTTCGTGTGGGGCTCAATCCTTTGAAGAATGACGATGTTTCCGATTCAAGGCCCCAGGGGTCGATGACGGCATCCAGGTGCGGCAATAGGCCAAGACAACTGAATACAACTTTATGGCGGCGATGCCCTGGCACGCGTCGCTGTGAAGATTTATCTTTCCATCCAGATCAGCCAATCTTTCCTCCCTACCACCTCCTGCTTCTCGATATCAGCCTCCCAGGAGACACTGCGCATCCACGGCGTTGGGCGGCTGACAATAGCATCCATTACTACTCCCTCGCTCCGAGCTATACAGCCAGACCCGATTGTCGAATGGAACAATGGGCGTCCAACTCAAGGGAAATGGCCCCGGAGAGCCACCAATGAACCCATTCGTGGCTGTTCCTCTATTTTCCGTCGGAGGCTTCATCGCCCTGCTATTCTTTTGGAGAACAGCAATTCGAATTCGACACCGTCGCAGATCAAAAACAGCCAGACAAACCGACGACCAGAGCCTGCTAGCTCAAATCAGTGCTATCAACGCAAGTCTCAAGAAGCATATATTTTATGCACCTCTATGGGGCTCCCGCCACAGTCGCGAATTTCGGTTTTTAAGGCTCCATATGGGATCGGTACCATTGCGGTTGGAAGTCATCCTCTTGGCACTCTATCTTCTACTTAACTTCCTATTTGTGGTTGTTACGGTAGATTGGTGGGAGAACTTTCCCAAGAAGATGTTCCAACTTAAGTACGCTGCAGGACACTTGGCTGTGATGAACATGCCTGGTTTAGTTCTGAGTGCTGGCAGGAATAACCCCTTGATCCCGCTACTCGGTCTCTCTTTCGATACCTTCAACTTTATGCACCGGTGGGTTGGGCGTACTATTGCTGCAAATGCAATCATTCACATGTCTGCCGTGTTGGCGAGTCTGGCACGTGAAAGTACGTATCTTCCTACGGCGATGAAGACTCATCTAACCTAAGGCAGATGGTATTAACTACATCCTTGACACAATATGGCATATGCCCTTCTACATTTATGGCCTCGTGGTATGTCCAACACTAAATTGGGTCGCCACAGCTTATAGCCTGTCTAACCATGTCTCCATAGGCTTTGCTTGGATTCCTTTTCATTTTCGTGCAATCGTTGTCGCCGGCTCGACACTCCCTCTATGAGCTTTTTCTACATCTCCATATTGCCCTTGCCGTTATGTCGTTTGTCGCTCTTTGGTATCACTTGAAAAACCTACTGCAACAGCGGGTACTTTTGGGAACTCTCATTCTTTGGGGTCTGGATGTATGTTTCTTCAATCACTTTCCAAGGCACATGAACCTCATACTGACTCATATACAGCGTGCGAGCAGACTTGGGATTCTGATATGGAGAAACTGCGGCAAGCGCCGCACGACTGCAACTGTGGAAGCACTCCCAGGCTCGGTCGCACGTGTGGATGTCGATGTCTCCAGAGCATGGAATTTCCGTCCTGGTCAATACATGTATCTCTACATGCCCTGTCTGGGACTCTGGACTTCTCATCCATTCACGGTTGCTTGGTCATCTGCAGGCACGGACACTTTGAACGTGACTGAGAAGCGAAGCTCAAGCGACTCCATTGCGACCCTCTTGGGAGGCTCAGAGACCACAACTATGTCTGTCCTCATCAAAGGACAGGATGGGTTCACCAAGAAACTTTTGGATAAAGTAGAAGATTCGCCAGAAGGGAGGATTAAAGTGACAGCATTGGCAGAGGGACCATTTGGTGGCATTCATTCACTGGCCTCATATGGAACTTTGCTGCTTGTTGCCGGCGGAATTGGCATCACTCATCCTATGTCATATTTGCATGAGGTTGTAACCAACTTTGCCTCTCGCAAGACGGCAACTCGCAAAGTGCATCTTGTCTGGATGATTCGGAGTTTAGGTAAGCTTGAACGTTCCCTCAGTCATGTTTGGACACAGTTACTAATCCTACAAATCAGATCATTTGGCCTGGATTCACAACTGGATGACTGATATCTTCAGCCACGACTCCCTGAGCAGCAGCATAATGGACCCTAAAGGAGAGACATATTTCCAGTTCCCTGGTCTTATGCTCTCAATAAGTGTCTACGTCACGGAGCACAAGGAGACATTCGAGGAGTACATTCCTGCGCCAGAGACACCATGGACGCAATGCGCACCCTCAAATGTTCCCATTAACGTGCACTACGGCAGGCCGTCTTTCCAGCCGTTATTGGAAAATGAAAAGGCCGAGCAGGTTGGTGCATTGGCTGTTAGTGTGTGCGGCCCTGGTGGCCTGGGAGATAGTGTCCGCGAAGCTGTTCGAAATGTTCAAGGCGAGAAGACTGTAGATCTTTTTGAAGAGGCGTTCTCGTGGTGATTGTTTATAAATTTCGTTCTGTCATGATGTTGCTGGCAAGTACGTTTTGAGATAATTCTAGTATATATCCTCTAATACATATTTAACCAAAAACTTGAAACTACAATCCTTCAAATTTTTAAAAGAATGCCCGGTGAAAATTGTAAAGACACCAAAAATCCGTGAAATTTCCTCTTGATGGGCAACTTTACTATCGCATAGCCTCGGCTTCGTCATTGCACTGCGTGACGCACGGACCTACAGCAAATACATCCCCCCACGCCAACTCCGCTATTCTACCAAAAGACCATGGGATTTTAGCCTGGCAGAATGAATCATGGCTTTCTCTGGCTGGCGCCTTCGATCATAACCGCCAGCCACACGGCACACGGTGGATCGGGTATCGGGACTCCCCGCCTTATGCCGAGAAGGGCATGTCGAGTGCGACAAATCCCCGCTACATAGGAAAGGGGTAGCTGCCAGTGGGGAGACCCATGGGGTAATTACTCTAGGAGCTGAGATTAGTGTGAAAAAAGATTGTGCGATTCACTCATGAGGGTATACTCGTACTCCAAGTTTCCTTTGCATGGATTTGCAACACCCGCAGGCTCTAGCGGCCCTATGTTTCCAATCACTACTTTCAGAAACCCGATACATCAACCTGGGTAGTCCATCGGCCTCCGAGACGTTCGAGCCACCGCTTCTTGGTGACCGATGGTTGGCTAAGGGGGGTGCAGACAGACGACACGCGACCTCTTCCCCGTGGTGGATCTTTGTGGATCTATTGTGTCAGCGGGGAGGGTTTCGCTTGGAATTGAATTTCATTATAAAGCTTGCGCACTGCCCCGCGATTATTGCCAGTGTCTCCTTCAATTTCTCCTCCGGTATTCGAGCCTACACACGGTCGTATAAAAATGACGACAACTTTTTCTTCGCTGCCCGTTGTCGATGTTGGTCCTCTCGGGGATCCCGGCGGGGCATCTGAAGAGCAATTGACAGCTCTCAGCCAGCGTCTATATGATGTGTTCACTACGACTGGCTTCGCATACCTCACCAATGTCCCTTTGAGCTTCAACCACGAGCAGGTATTCAGCATGTCGCGAGAATTCTTTGCATTGCCCCAAGAGGAAAAAATGAAGCTCGCCAAACGATCTTTCCGACGCAGCCATCAGAACACATATCGAGGGTCATTACCCTTGTATCTGGTTATTTAGTAGTATCATAACTAACGCACATATTTCTGTAAAGATATTTCCCCACCCAGCCCGAATTGGCCTCCGACAATCTGAAAGAAGGGTTTGAGATGGGCCCTGCCGTGCCTATTCGTACATCCACCACCTCATCGACATCAAAGTTCAACCTCGCCGAGCAAAATGTATGGCCAGAGGAGAATTTACTTCCAGCTCGACCAAAACTTGAGACTCTTTATGTCGAGCTTCAAATTCTTGCGTCAAAGCTCCTCTCACTCCTTGCTGTTTCTCTCGGTAAATCGGCGGACTATTTCGGATCGTATTTGGAAGACTCATTGAGCACTCTTCGATTGCTCCACTATCCTGCAGTGGAATCGGTGGCTTCAGGTTCAGGTTCTGCAGGATCAGGCGATGTCAAGCTGAGCTGTACTCCTCACACCGATAGTGGAATTTTGACCTTGCTGCACCAAGATTCTACCGGAGGCTTGGAAGTACGCAACTCATCTGGAGAATGGGTCGCCGCGCCCTATATTCCCGAGTCGCTGGTGGTCAATATTGGAGATCTCATGACCAAGGTATCTGGTGGAAGATTTGTTGCCACCATGCATCGTGTGCGTGCACCCCCGATGAGAGCCTCTGCGTCGGCTGTTACTGGCCAACAGAATGGTGAAAGCCAGGCAATGGGCAGAATCAGTGTCCCGTTCTTCTTTGAGCCGGGAGAGAACTGTCTTGTTCGTTCTGTCGACAGTGATGAGGGATTTGTCTTATACGGTGAGCATGTGCGAGCGAAAATGAAGACCTGGGTGGAGTTCCAGGACGATGAAGACAATTGATTTGTCTGATTGTGACTGGGGCTGCTCTGCCCGGGCAGCTAATGGTGGCAGCACTGGCCCGTGCAGCATTTATGACTCGTTTCCAATGCCGGTTATTTTCCCTCTGCGACCTTGACCCAAACAGAATTTGAAACCTGGAAGCTCCGGGTTTGATTATCTTTTGAATACGGCGAATGGATATGCAACCCAAGCGACTTCGGTACCCAGAGCAACAATTTCCCCAGCGACAGTCACCCATGCGCCAACAGCTCTCGTGCCCTGTTTTTTTTCTTTTTTCCCCCCCCTGGAGCCCTTTTTGTACGTTAGCATGAATGTTCACCCTTATGCGATCTACGTTAGTCGTCGGAACACCATTATCTCACAATTGAGTTTGTGCTTGTGGACTGCTTTCTCTGTCTTGGATATGTAACAACCACGGCATTTGCATTATAACTTGGTTTGATTCATGTCATGATATATGAGCTCGCTGGCGGAAAGGTTATGGCCGATACTTCTTTCCCTTTGCAGGCTGCCAGGATCAATGCAGCAAATGGAGAGACATCATAAACTCGACCGTGTTCTAGAGCATCGGAGTATTCATGCAATGACATCATTGCACCATGAGATCCCGTATCTGCTTTTCCCCACGCCTGCTGAGAGCCATCCTCCCATAGCTTCATATGCACGTCGAATGGTAAGGCATCCACAAATGGAGTCCGAACAGAGTAGTTCCTAGTGTGCAATGAATACGCACTGCGAAGCATCAGGCTGACGATGATGGTACGACGGACACTCTCGGCTAGTAGCCAGGCATGTCGAGGGCTAAGCGATGAAGGAAGCTGAATAGGAGCTTGCTGCCACAATCGCTCGGCGACCCACTCTAGCAACACGCTCGTTCCCTCGGAGTACTCATTCGAGTCATCTTCATTTAAAGCCAGAATGCACTGGGTGAGAATCAAAGCCTGAGAATATCCCAGAAGCTCTTCAATCCCCAAGGCGTGTGAAAGATGCCGTGTATACTCTGCCAATTTTCTTCGTAAAAGAGGGCATAGATCCTGGGAACGCTGTGCTTTCTCTGCTTGTAACTGCAGTTTGCAGAGCCAGTGTATATCTCGAATGGGTGCCGGAGGCTCCGACGCATTAACATCGGGATGAATGAAGAGCGTTTTTTGGCTCTTCGCAAATGATCTCGGGAACTCTCGTATTCCATTCACTAAGAATCGAATGGCAGATTGGTCGTATTCTTTTGCAATCTCTAACCGCAAAGGGGATTTTATTTGGCCCATAGGAGTGGAATTTCTCTGGCGAAAGTTGAGGGGAGTTTGGCTTTCAATAGATTTCTGAGGTGCTTTTCTAACGGTCATGGGCGCGTTCGTATATTCACAATCCAGCCCCCTGCTAATGCACCTGCTGCATTTGGGTGATCGCTGATCGCATCGTCTTTTGCACCTAGCACAGGCCTGACAGGATCTGCGCAGGGTAAATGATTTCGGAGGAGCTGGCGGCATTTCTGGGCAAGCTGGTGAGAGGATGAAAATCGTTGATCGTCGCCACGCGTAAATCGGTTTCCGGTCACGTGGCCATATGTCTCCGAAGTAGAAAACCAACATACTTTAATTTCAATCACTATGTGATAAGGAGTTATTTTGATGAAGGCGGTCAATCCCAGAAATAATAAAATATTTAGGGTTGTATTGACTCTTCTATGGTGTGTATATTATACGGCGCAGCCCCGTTCGCCCGAATTGAATCGGCATGTTTAGTAGAGAGATCTCCACAATCGTCAGCCAGTCTGAATTAGAACTTTGGGAAATTTTATAATATAAATATTACTGTCTGGATGTCTACCAGGTAAAATAGCGATGGAAAAAATATTGATAAGTAAACATCGATTATGGATTGAGACTAGACAAATTTATACACATCACACAACCACGCCGCTCGAATTCAATCCTATCATGCGGCATCCATCTAGCAGAGTAGCTTATAGCTGCGATAGTACTTCTCACCACGAGCGCATTCGCCCCCTTGCCAAACCTGGTCATCGAAGTGGCAAGTAATATCGCTGTAAGTGTGCACTAGTCTAGTGTTAGAATGCGATCATCATCTTGGACACCGGCAATACTCACAAACACAGTTACCCGTCTGCAGACGGAACTCGACGGATCGAACATGCTCTCCATCCGGAATGATATTGCATTTGTTGATATCAGTGTCGTAGACACCCATCTCGCCGAGTGCAGCAGTGCAGGTAGTATCGCTCATCAGCTCCAAGGTCGCGTAGCGAGTAGTCCCCTGAGCAGGAGCGGCGGAGGCAGCGCCCATGAGAGCAACTGTAGAAGTGAGAAGAGTGATAAGCTGCATTTTGAATGTATTGAACTTGGAGTTGCTGTGTTTTGTTTCCGTTGTTTGAGAGGCTGTTGATGATGTGATTGACAGCAGCTCGTGGCCCTTAAATAACTTTTCCTTCTGCTGAACTTGGAATACTACCAATATATTGGATATATTTTGAGATTCAAAAATAGATCCAAGAGATCTCAATCAAGCTCTCGGAGCTAACCGTGATCCGTTCTCCGACCCACTGCTTGAAGATCGTATTCTCTAGCTAGGGAAGGCTTACGCCCATCAGGCGCGCATCTGCTCAATAATTGTTATATCTTTCTTTACTATGTAAATTTTTACCTAAATATGTCTGAAAATTCGCCAGTACTGGGCTAGAGCTGTTAGGGCGCTCTGGTAAAGGCTTCAGAATGTCAGGCCTCCCAGCTGACATGTCTCACTGCCAGGAGCCAAGCAGAGGAAACACCGGTGTAGGTTTAGGCATCCAAGGGGTCTCGATAATACATCTGTATACAATCTCAAAAATCTACTACTTTGTCTAATGTTCAATTAAATTGGGGCTGCGGTAAATCATTGTGTACGAAGAGGTCGTAGGGCCTTGCAAGGGCGATATAGCCTCATTCTAGTGGTCGGTACTAACTAGTAACAAAAGAGATCCCGAGACCAGTAAAGTCTTCGAGTGATATCCACCACTTTATTTTATCAGTCCTGAACATAAAAAGCAAATGACATTCTGGTTGGTAACTAATAAAGAGTGCCACATCCGTCGCTGCCCGTTGTGTTGAATCTTACGGTTCTCAGCCACAATGTTGAATCACCATACAGGTCTCACTTCATCTCCACACTTGCATTAGCACTGAGAGATAGTGGAGTAAGTGTACTGAGACCGGCTCTCGTTTCTGCATCCTCCAGCGTCAGTATCGCGGTCATGCCACTGCCGATTCCAAACGCCCGCTTCACACCCTTCCAACTCTCGACACAGGCCAGATAGGTTACTGTGCAGCCAAACACAACACCCCACTCCCATGTTATAGAATGGTGTTTGAATACCACTTGGTTTACTACTGGAAGATAGATAACTGGGAAGGCAATAACAAAGCCAGCCACGACCGCCCAGAAGAGAAATTGGTTGCGCCAAAGTGTGGAGAAGATGGAGGACTTCCTAGGAGACCTGAATGGGTCCATGTTGAACAAAGACCATGAAAAATGTTTCACTTCCCAGGCTGTTACCAGCAGAAGAAATGTTAGAGTTGCGTATGTCGTTGCACGGGCTCGAAAAACAGCATCACAAGTCGGGTTGTAGCCTTGGTTGCATCCGTCTCCCAAATCGGAAGTTCCTGCGCCGGCTGCATAAATAACACAAACAAATGCGACTAGGCAGAGCGAGCCCATGAAAGTTCCGTATATCATCTTGTCAACTATGAGTTCCCGAGTAAAGACTCCGACTCGTAGGTCATGCGGCGGACGATACATGATGTCCGGTTGCGCCTCTTCCAGGCCAAGTCCAACAGCTAAGAAGGATGAGGTGACAAGATTGGCCCACAGAATTTCTAGTGGGGAAAGAGGGAAGACAGAGTCCCCTCCGGTATCTTTGAATGCAAGGGCAATGAGAAGAAGAATCACCTGAGCGATATTTGAAATCAAAAGATGCATGAGAAACTAAGCGAAGGAGGTCAGCTGGGATTCACTGGAGCATATTCAATGGAAATACTACGTACCTTCTGAATATTATCGAATAGACGACGACCCTCCTCAACGGCTTTGACAATCGAAGAAAAGTTGTCATCCGTGAGCACCATATCTGCGGCTTCCTTGGCCACATCACTGCCATTCTTCCCCATGGCGATGCCCACGTCTGCCCGTTTGAGAGCTGGAGAATCATTGACCCCGTCACCAGTCATCACACAAAACGCCTGACGGCGATGCATAGCGTCAACCATCCGCACTTTAGTGGCCGGGCTACATCGAGCAATGACAAGCGGCAACTCCTCAATCTCGTCCACCTCGGCATCAGTAAGTCTGTCAAACTCATCCGCGGCCATGACTAGTTTCCTTGATTTTGCCAAAGCAACCACGCGGTCGAGAATACCAACTTCAGAAGCAATGGCTGCGGCTGTCTTGATGTGATCACCCGTCAGCATGTGCACTGTTATTCCTGCCATTTGGCATTTCCGCACTGCCGCCGCCGTTTCAACGCGAGGAGGATCATACAGGCCAACTAGCCCACCGAATTGGAGATCGCTCTCTGCAGACGCCCGAGGGGAGACAAAGTGGTTATTGTCGATAGCAGTCTTTTTGTAGCCAATACAAAGAACACGAAGTCCCTCTCCGGCCATTCTATCCGCGGTTTCACAGATGATCTGCTTTTCGCCTTCGCTAGATAATATGGAGGGAATGACGGCTTCCGGTGCACCTTTGGTGTATACCTCATTGAAACCATCTTCCGCGTTGCTATACACAATTGTCATCTTTTTGATAGCGGAGTCAAATGGGTATTCTGTGTGAAGCTGGAGTTTCCTCCCACGGATCACAGCATTTTTGGCAAAGTCGAATCGCATAGCCAAGACATGTAAAGCTATCTCGGTTGGCTCTCCAACTGCGGACCACACATTATTTTCATGCTGCACGACCGAGAGGTTGCAGAGTGAAAGAGCAGAGAGAAAGGTGTGTAAAGCAGGATTCTTCTCGATAGGGTGGCGTGAATTCCAGTCAATCTCGTCTAGTTGAACCAGGCCACTGGTCGGGTCGTATGGATCGGTCGTTTGACGAACAGTCAAGGTGCCCGCTCCTGGGATCCATGCCGATCGAGCGATCATCTTTCCCTGTGTCAGAGTTCCGGTCTTGTCGGAACAAATATTGGTGACACCACCAACAGCCTCAAGACATTGCAGTTTGCGAACTATGACATTTCCTTTTGCCATTGCCTTTGTTCCCACAGCAATGGTAATGGTCAGGACAGCAATGAGTGACTCTGGAATGACAGCCACTGCAACACAGATTCCGTAAATCAAGACCTCACCTTGCACATCCCACAAGTTGACCGAGAAAACGATGATGGCAAGCAGAATGGCTAATGCAAAGAGAAGAAGTGCGAACTTGCTCAGCTTAACCTGGAGTGGTGTGCCTACTAATCCTAGCATCTTGGCGATGAAGGATTTAACACGGTATACGGCTTGACGAAGTGGGCTTCTACTCCCCATACTGCCCTGATCTTGGAGCAGTTGAGCAATTTTGCCTACTTCTGTTGCCATTCCTATTGCAACGACGATGCCCGTGGCTCGACCCTGTGTTGTACTACAACCAGAGTATGCCATATTGGTTCGATCTCCGATAGGTATATCTGGCAAGACCAGTGTGGTGTATGGAGTTTTCTGAACGGGTAGAGACTCCCCAGTGAGAAGAGCTTCGTCCGTAGAAATGTTCATGCCCTCCAATAGCCGCAAGTCTGCAGGAACGACATCCCCAACCGCCAAGCGGACTATATCACCGACAACTAGTGATTCAGCTTTGATAGAAATCACCTTCCCATCCCGGGTGACTTTGCAAACTGGCGCTGACAGGCGGTGGAGGGAAAGGATCGTTTTCTCGGCTTTATAATCTTGGACAAAGCTATTCTGGTCAGCAAGCTCCGGGAGGCATCAGTAATCCCTACGAGTCACGACATACCCAACGATGATGTTCAGGAGGATCACGGCTGTTATGACACCACCTTCGATGTAATCATCGATTCCAAAGGACAGAGCCATGGTGATCAGAAGAACCTAGAAGGTAATTTAATTAACTGCTAGTTCTCCCCCACTCCCCGGCGAATATTATAAGATGGCCCGCACTCACTATCGTCAAGCTGTTGGATACCTGCCTTAGCAGTATCCCCCAGAAGGAGATGTTCTCGATTTCGCGGACCGCATTTGGACCGTCGCGCTCAAAGCGCAATTCTGCTTCGGAGCTGGAAAGTCCATGACTTCAAAAAGCGAAGGGAGAAAGCGTCAATATTGAAGTTCTTCTGTGAGAGTAGACAAAGAATAACTAAGCCACGTACTGTAGGTCTGTCTGGAGGAGACTTGTAAGTTGAAGAGGTTCCAAGAGATGGGCATTCTTAAGCCGATCCTCTATTCTTTCAATCGATTCGGTCGATGTACGCTGCTCGAGGCGGACAGGCAAGCTATGGGTGGCCAGCGGCGTTGCAGGCTTTTCTTTTGGGTCGCACGGCTTAAGGCTTAAGGCTGTGGGTGATTCATGTGAAATGGGCTCCGTACAAGGACATATAGGAGGTTCAGTCGATTCCTCGACATCGGGAGTTGTCTCTATGCCCATTCAAGGAGGTGTAGGAAGGGAGGTGAAAGGTGAAAAGGAAGGGAAAGGAATGATAATAACAAGCAAATGTTTTAATTCTCGCGAGCCAAACTAAACCGATGGTTCCTTTTTCTTTTAATACCCAGAAGACCTCTTAGGATGTAGAATAAATTGGGAAGTAAGAAAGGGAGGGAGTGACAATGGACGGTTTGTATTTGTATGCAAACGAAAGAGGGGAATGGTATCGTGAGCCGGGGGGGGGGGATCGCTATGGAATACCAAAGGAGGATGTCATTGGGGAATACCTGCGGAGATGCTTGGCTGGTCCTATCCGGAGGTGATACCTTACGACGACATCGGTTGGCAAGCCGCTAGATGTCTTGGAGCGAGGCTAACCGGGGCATTCATTGGACATGAGGGGGTTGGATGACCAGCCACAATCCGGATGGTGCTCATCCTAGCTTCTCGTCGATCGATCGATGATGGAGGGATTCCAACTGTGTATTCTCAACTTCCTGAGCAAAACATTGGCGGGATAATCTTGTTGACCAAACGAATTTCGCCAATAGTCAAGTTCTCGCGTCTTCAAGGTGATATCCATGGTTCCATCTAGTTCATGACTGCATTGAGGCGGAGGCTTTGCCAATCCTGTTCCGCCACTTTCCAAGATCTCGGCGCATCGGAACAGGTCTTGGGTCGTGTGTCAATGCCAGTCAGTGTCAGTGCAATACTTGGACCAGTTAGTTGGGAGTGGTAGTGTTGGTCTTGGGATCATCGCCAAGATACAAGGTGGTCGTGTCTTTTGGTACTGCGGAGTGGGATTACTAGTAGTAGGTATTCCTCCACTGACATACTAGCAAGTTGGGGATCTATACTTAGGAACTAGTAGTTATTAACTATTAACTACTAGCTAGTAGAGTACTACTAAGTAAATCTTGAACATAGTATGGGTGCACTTAACCCCGGTTGTTACTGCTAGCTATTTGAGTGTTGACTTACACATAGGCAACACTGGGCACGCCCTCACAATCCATCTCTTTCATTCCTCTTAGGTACATATATTTAATGCCCTAAATACGCCCTCTACTCATGAATACTGACTTCTATTTCCCCAATATCAACTTTACTGGTATTTGTTTGTTCAGCATCTTCTTGAGGAACTGGCCAATCAGCGCACGGCCCGCACTGCAAAATCCGCGCGCTTCAAACTTCACTTGAACTCCCCAGGTGCTTCCCACGCTTTGCTTTGCTTTGCTCCTTCACCAACCTGAACCTGAACTCTTCTTCAATTCCCCTTGAGTTCTACTACTACAGAATGGTTGGCCTTACTGCATCGCTCTCGAACCTGAGCCGTTCCGACGGCTCGGCGTCCTACAAATGTCCTGCCACCGGCTACGATCTGCTCGGTGCCGTGAATGCTCCCATTGAGCTCCCCGCCCGTCGTGACGCCCTGAAACCCGAAGAAGCGACCGTGGAAGTTTTTGTCAAGCCAGGAAATACCACAGCAGGTGTTGGAGAACGCTATGTGGAGGGAATTCTCCGCAGTGTACTGAGCAAGGTCGTTCTGGGTCGCGAACGAGGATTTCCTCGTCGCGGCGTAGTGATCACGCTGGCAATCGTCGGAGGCGAGACTCTCGACCGTGGTGATTCTGTAAGACATCTCTCAGTAGTTTCTCGCTGATTGATTCCATGTGTGATCCCGTTCTAACAGACATTTGCTCACAGTACCTTACCATCCTTCCGGCCCTGCTCCATACCTCACTTCTTGCCTTGCTTTCGGCTGCCGTGCCTCTTTCGATGACATTTTCAGCCACCCTAGTGGGTGTGAACAAGTCTGGTGCCATCATCACCGATCTCTCCGCTGCTGACGCAAAGGCCGCTGCCTCTCTCCACGTCCTCGCCTTTTCTTCTAAGAACCACCTACTTCTGAATCAGAGCGAGGGCCGATTTGATTTCGACACTTGGGAACAGGTCCGAGACCGTGCTCTGTCCATCTGCAAGGACATGACTACCCCTGGGCCGGATGGAGACATCGCGATGGGCGATGAAGCAGATAGCTCTCGCCCCGAAGGATTTGTTCGGGAGACTGTAGAGGATCGCCTCTACAAGGACTACTCATGGAAGATTGATTCCATCTGAATGCGATGAACAAGCTCTGCACCGGGCAGCGGGGAGGAAGATAATCATGATCATGAATGGGGACACGACGCAGAACCTTGGAAGAATAGCAGGCTGCCTTGGCTTCTAGGAGGTACTTTCTGCGATACTCGGACATCTGATCTCCGCATTCAAAGTTGCCGACTCGCTGCTTTACGGGAACACGAGTGTGACGACTGTCACACCACAGTCGAGGCTTATTTCCTCTCCGCCACTGCATGTACGAGGCTCGGGTCAACCATTCCGACGAGAAAGTGACCGATACGCTCGGTCGCACTGGCTTGACGCCGCCTGCACCTTGTCATACCAGGTAAGGCACCAAGGTCGCTAGGGTGACGCCGCCAATGAAGCGTGAAGATGAAGCACGAACCCAGGCAAATCTCCGCCAGTCAGCAGCAATAGCAGCAATAGCAGCAGCAGGAACGCTATAATGATAGCAATAAGCCCTAGCCTCACTTTATTCGAGAGGACCGAGAGCAGAAGCGGAAGCACAAGCACAAGCACAAGCACAAGCACAAGCGAAAAAAGAAGCCAAAAAGCAAAGAAAATTACTATAAGAAACGAAGCAAGTTTCCGGAGCCGCGGTAATTCGTAGAAACTTCCCCCTCCTCAAAGGAAGACGTCAGCAGGGACTCGGAGCCTTGCACTTCAACTTCCTCTTAAAGTTCCCCACGCTACTCATTTATCCGGCGCTTGGACTCATTCCCCCAAAGGTTTCCACTTTTTTATTTTTGTATTTTTCATCTTTGACCCGTGCTTCCGTTGTCGGCCTTTTTTTAAGGGTTTGGTTTGGAGCAGAGCCCGAGTCTTTGAGCAAGAGAGTCTACTCCCGTACTCCGTGTTAACCTCTGAACCTCTCAACCTCTCAACCTTCTGAACCTCAATCATCCTCTTTGTCCAAACGCCAACATCCTCCCCCCACTCACGGCGATCGGGGACTCTAGAGTCTATCCACATCCCTGTCGGCAGATCCCAAGTGGAAGACGGTGGAATCGTCTCACCGCGTTCCATTGAGGGGGATTGGATTGCCCTACTCCAGCGCAATCCCCGTTACATCCGAGCTCGGTCCCAGTCCGTTGGATTATCTGCAGCCCCCGAGGTCACCTCATCCTCCAGTTACGAATATTGACTCGATTCGTACTTAACCCAGGTTAACTGCTCATGGCGTCGCCCGGCAGTGAGTCGTCCCGATCTGACACTACCACCACTCAGCTTTCTACCTTGCGCTCGTCATCGCGTACTTCTCCATCTTCATCTTCATCTCCGACTGCCACCGTCACCACCGCAACTGCGAGATCCATTACTGCCCCACCCCCATCCGCTTCAACTTCAACAGTCGGCGCCGCCCTGCTCCGCGATTATGCCCTCCATATAGAACCCTCTCAAACACATAACGAGATCCATTCTCACGGTTCCCCTCGAAAACTCCAAACGGTAACACACTGCTTCCCGCCAAGATAGATCCCGTTCAGGAAGAAGCCGTCGGCCGGTCGCTGCCCTCCTCGGCATTGCGCCGATTTCGCCAGAACTCCGTGTCTGGACACCGATCTCAGAAAGCGCTCTCGACCGACTGCATTCCCAGACAGACCATCATGAAGGCTTTGGCATCACGGCCAGCATTTTCCAAAAATAATCAGAACGCGAGCTTTTCAGGTCCTTTCTCAGGCCCACTCACCAATAACGGCGAAGCCTCATCCCCGCCCGACGATCGAACCAATTATGAAAAAGAGAAGGAGAAGGAGAAGGAGAAGGAGAAGGAGAAAGGGCGTGAGCGCAGATATAGTGCCTCTTCCCAAAATTTGACGACTGCGCTGTCTAATCTCCAACTGAGCGGATATCTCGATCGATCCCCTGCAACGGCGCGATTGCTGTTACAGTCACCATGTTACTTCCACCAAAGATTCGACGATGCAGTAAATATAAAGAAGGTCTTGGAAGAGATTGCGGATGATGAGTGGCTGTCGCATTCCAGATTGGTGCAGACTGCAACGGGTGTTCGGGAGGTGTCGAAGCAATTGCAAAGGCGGCCGATCAAACGCGCCGTGCGCAATGTCATGATTGTCACCAAGGCACGAGACAACAGCCTGGTGCATCTGACTCGGGAGCTGGCTGAATGGCTTTTGTCAACACCCCGATATGGAAGCGACCTGGGTGTCAATGTTTACGTGGATGCCAAACTGCGGAACTCCAAGCGGTTCGATGCCGCCGGCCTGCTTCAGAAGGAACCGCGGTTCGCGCAGATGCTGCATTTCTGGACACCCGACCTCTGCTGGACCTCCCCGGATAAATTTGATCTTGTCCTCACCCTTGGTGGAGATGGAACGGTCCTCTTCACCTCATGGCTCTTCCAACGCGTAGTGCCACCGGTGTTTTGTTTCTCGCTCGGAAGCCTAGGCTTCCTTACAAACTTTGATTTCAAGCACTATAAGTCGCATCTGAATGGGGTCATGGGGGACGTCGGCATGCGCGTGAACCTGCGGATGCGGTTCACATGTACCGTGTACCGGAAAGACCGGAGCAAAGGCGCGGAAGTCGGCGCAGTTGAAGAGGGCGAGCAATTCGAAGTTCTGAATGAGCTGGTAATTGACCGGGGGCCTTCGCCATATGTCTCCAATCTAGAGTTATATGCAGATGATGAGTTGTTGACCGTTGTCCAAGCGGATGGCTGCATTTTCTCTACCCCCACAGGTATGTCACCCGAAGCTGCACTTCGACAATGACTTTTTTGTACTAACCATAACAAATAAATCCAGGCTCGACAGCCTATTCCTTATCCGCTGGCGGCTCACTCATGCATCCATCAATTCCGGGTATTCTTCTTACCCCAATCTGTCCTCACACTCTCTCCTTCCGCCCTATGGTTCTGTCCGACTCGCATCTTCTCCGCATCGCAGTTCCCAATACGTCCCGATCCACCGCTTATTGTTCATTCGATGGCAAGGGTCGAGTTGAGCTTCGCCAAGGTGACTATGTCACTATCGAAGCCAGCCAGTACCCCTTCCCCACCGTTGTATCAGACAGCGCCGAGTGGTTCACCAGTGTCCAGCGTGCTCTCCGCTGGAATACCCGTGGGGCCGTACAAAAAAGCTGGGATGGTGGTGCCGGGGATGATCAAGACGAGGCCGAGGATGAACAATGGGATATCGACACTGACGCTGGACTCGCGGGTACAGATAGCGGGATCGGTCCCAGCGAGGATGGTGATTCGTTATCCCCTAACCCGATGCGACGACAGATGAGTCTGCTCAATATGTGAACTTCGCTGAACAGGGATTAAATTTCCTTTTCTTTCCTCCCCTTTCCCTCTTCCCTTTTCACGACATACCTCTTTTTCATTTCGGCGTTTTCACGACATACCCAGTCAGGCTTGCATTGTTCAAGGTTATTTCAAGCATAGATCTCGATTTGTTGTTTCCTGCTATATCTTCAAGGCAGCTGAGCGGTCATTACATACATCACTTTTTTCCCAGTTTCGGTTACGTTATCACGGCGATGTCCATGTTGCATGTCATGTTCAAATGACGGTCATTACATAAAAGCCTTCGCTAGAGAATTGACGCTAGAGAGCACTCAGGTGCCAATGTAATGAAACATTCATGTTTACGGCCGTTTCTGATCTACTAGCGAAGTAGTACTTCAACTTGAAGACTCCACTTTATGAGATACCTCATCCACACCTCTTCTGTTATAATAGATAGAGCGGATAATAATCACATTCCGACGAACATTCCAAGGTATTCAGATGATGTTCCACCAGGCGACCCATGTAACCTCGCGGCAACATGGATTGAGTTTGCAGATCTGGTGCTCGTGGACTGAAACACCGCGTTGTTTCGGCTTGATAGGTCCAAGCTCCAGTCAATATACACTGTTCCATGTAACTATTTACCAAGGGATTACGAAGTATTTTATTTCTGGGTGCCAGTATAATGAGTGCGCATAGAAAAGAACTTAGTGAATTATAGTACGAAGAGGGTTGGTTAGTGAAGACGCTGTGAGGCTGTTTATACTATAGTAGTTCTTTTGTTGTGGCGGCCTGAAGGATTTACTTTCTTACTATTATTTCAATAAAGAAGATAAAATTGCTTTTTTTCTCTCTCTAATATTCCCTAAGATAGCCTTTATAGAAAAACCATAACTTTTCAATCCACTACCACATGCAGTGTTAGAGATATCTCAAACTAATAATTGGAAAAATAACCTTGGAATACGCGAAGGGGGTGTTTCCCAGTATCCACACGCAGCCCTGGAGTAGTATAAAGGGGTCTCTACCTCGCCAAAGAATCCCCCAGAATAAACGAAAGAACGCAAAACAAAACAATCAGAACCACCACAATTCAATCATTCTCAGGAATAACCTTGCACCAACACATACCACCACAATGAAGACTTCTCTCCTACAAACCACCCTCCTTTCAACCCTCCTCCAAACCACCCACGCCCTCGTGGGAATCTCTTTGGAAGGTATCCAACACTCCTAGCGATGGTCTCAAGGACATCAGCTTCCCAATCGCTATGCCAAACGCAGCCCACAAATCCGGGTACTACTACGCGCAGCAATTCAGCTTCGCAGGACAGAGCGATGTCGGATACACAGGTCTCCAGCCCCGCGAAGACAAAAGCTCGGGCTCAGTAGTCCACGCCGCTTTCTCCAGCTTCGTCGCCGGAACGACAAGCTCAGATGCGAATTGCTCGGACGGTGCGGACGGTGGCGCGGGCGTTTCCTGCGCTGTTGATGTCTCTGCGACCTACGCGCATGGCTACATTCTCCGCGTCAAAAATACTCAAGGTACCACGTGGACTGGTACGATGGTTGATGCTGTTGATGGAACGGAAACTCATATTGGGTCTTATACGCTTCCCTCCGGTTCTGGGGGTATTCAAGGGAGCCAGGTGGGCTTTGTGGAGTATTATCCCTGGAACTCGGGGTCTCATACTTGTGATCAATTGCCCAAGACTGATGTTACTTTTGGTGTGCCGACTTCTTCGGGTGGGACTGGGGAGTTGGGGGCTGCGTATGAGTATGGGGATTGTGTTGGGAAGGTGGATTATAGTTCGAAGAGAGCTGATGGGGATGCTGTGAATGTTGTTGTTGGATTTTAGGGGCTTTTTGCGATTTTCAAGTTGATCGTACGAGATAGTATTTCAATAGTATTATCATATCCGGAGCTGGATGATTCAAATTCTAAGATTGCCATGAAAGTATCCTCTCCTCCATGACTTTGCTTTGATGTAAGTTGCAACTTGAATGCCCAATACAATAAAGAAGAAGATCGGGCATGGGTAGTTTCTAGTAGTAGCTACTAGCATCAAAAGTGGATCGCTGATATAGTATGTGGCAAGAGGAGGTGGAAACACCTGCAACCAACATACATACTTACTAGTTGGACCGTGACATTAAATAAACGCCTGAGAGGTACTAGTATGATTCAGTCTTCTCTTGCCATTCTGGCTAGAAAAGTCTATTGGTGGTACTTACAAAATGGAAGAGGCCATAGAGTTAACGCCTGCAATGAATATCGCTCTGCGTAGACCTAACATATCGGGAAGGCTTAATGATGATCTCGATAAATTGGCACCTATCAGACCCTGAGTCGATCATCGGCAATGCGAGTCTCAGATTAAAAGGCGGCTTGAACACGAACCCCGACGCTTTGACGTGAGACGTAGTGGTTCAGGGACTCAACACCCCGCAATGCCGATCTGGCGTTTCAGGTAGAAAGGCCGAGTCAGGTCGTAGTACTAGTCAGTAACCTTACCGAGATTGCATATTACTTTCCCCGAAACGATCAGGTGTTTGTTCATCTTCTACTCCTGCGAGACTAGCGAGGTGCCATCCGCCATGCATCATATCGTGATGTTTTAAAACTTTTTATTTCTTCTAACTGAAAAGAAGGCGGCATTAACATTTATATCGAGTGCGATGAAAGTCATTCCCCCCGAAAACAAGGCTTTATCCAACGCAAATATCTAAAAGAAGAGGCCATCTGTAACGGTAGCAGATTGACCGAATGCAATTAACCCGGAACTTTTGTGGAAACAGGTCAACAACCTGTATCCGCCCATCCTTCCCACCCGCCGGTTTAAATCCCGATCATGTCACATAAATCTCGTCTTAATATATCATTTTCTCATTGGTGCTGATCCATCACCAGTCACAGCTCTCAGCCAGGATCTCAGCCAATTCCTCTAGGTACTTCTTATCCACGTCGTCGAAGCCATCGGGCTGGGCGCAATCGATATCGATAATGGCGACGGTCTGCCGAGTCGTTAGTACCACATTCAGACACACTGCGCACCACGCAATGAAGAACACTAACCTCTCCCCGAACAAGAATGGGAACAACGATCTCACTGCGGCTCTCGGCGTCACAGGCAATGTGTCCCGGGAACTGCTCCACGTCTGGCACGACAACGGTCTTCTGGGTAGCGGCAGCAGTGCCGCAGACACCCTTGCCGAAGCGGATCTCTTGACAAGCAGGCTTTCCCATAAATGGTCCCAGAAGCAGGAGTTGGTCCTCAGTTGAAGCGTATGTGGTCGAGATCGTTACGCTACCGATGTTGGGTCCGCCGCCGAGGGGAGGCGATGAGACGGGTGACGCGAGGGCGGGGAACTTGTCATCGCGAATGTAGAAGCCGGCCCAGTTGACGGAGGAGGAAGGGGAAGGAAGAGCAGCGAAAGTGTGCCACAGCAGCGAGGAGACGTTAGAAAGGTTGCTGGTGGCTGTTAGTTTGCGGGCTTGGTATTGGCCAGGAAACACCACACCGCGCGCGAAGCCTATGAGGAGGCAGGGCAGCTGGGTATGAGTTCCTTGATATCTGGTTGGGAATCGCTCTCACCTAACCTAGGATGACGATATTCTGTTAGCGCATTGTTCAATTGGCAATGGTTGCGACGCCCGTTGGACACGCACGATGGAAGACACTCACCCAATTGCGTTGACCGGAGAGAAGACCCCTCGTTTGGTCTAGTAGTTGAGGGTAGATCTCGGCCTTTGTTGAGCCAAAGAAATAGGAAGAGTCGGCGTGAGGCTGGAATTGCGATCGGACCAGTTAGTTGAGATCGGCGTGATTACCAATGAATTGGCGGGGCTATCCAGGGTGGAATGACAGGGACGAACCATGTTGAGTAGCGTTGACGGAGGAGGTAGGAGAAGAGGATTGCCAACAGCAATTGAGCGAGGAAGAGGGGAGATAAAAGAGAGAAGAGAAGTGAGAAGTGACGAGGACGAGGAAGAGGAAGAGGAAGAGGAAGAGGAAGAGGAAAGAGCAAAAGCAAAGCAAATTCGGCGGAGCTCCGCAAGTGGAGAAGGAGCGATGACCAAAGACCAAGTTGGGTTGGTCTGGCCAGTTGCTTCTTCTTCTTCTCTCTTCTCTTCGTCTCTTCGTCTCTTTACCTTTTTACTCCGTAACTCTCACCTCTCTCCAACTCAGTCGATCCACAATTTCCCCATTCTCATCTCTCCAGGAAACCTTAATTTGTGGCAGTTGGCTTTACTCATCTTTCGGGTTCTGCTCCTGATCCTGGTCCTGGCCCACAATTGGTGACTCCTCGCGTGCACCCAAACCATCCTGGAAGTACCATGCCTCCCGATCCCTGGGTTCAAGCCCGAACCCCCCGAGTCTTTCTCGTTCGGAAAGTCTCAAGTCAACTCTGTTTGATCTGATTTCTGGTCTTCTTCTTATCTTAAAACGGGAGACTTGGATCGAGTCCTGTACCACTCGTCTTGGTTTTAACTTCGTCGGCTTTCCACAGCCCCGGGTCGGAGGCATTGGGGCTGTGAAGGGCAAACTGGTTCCGGGTCATCGGATTGGGTATCGATGATCGCATTTGATGGCCATCTTCCAGATAACCCATCTCTGCCGTATCAACGGAACCCCCCGAAAGACTCGGAATAGATGCAAACGAAGGAAGGCGCCAACTGAAACCCCGAGACACTTGATGCTTCCGAACAAGTTTACGGATGATCTGATGCACCTCCACTTGAAGGATCGATCGTACTCGCGACATCGATCGCTTCCTGATCTGGAAACTCGGGCTAGGGTACCCCGATTGGTGTCGACCAGAATGAATGGCCTTGGTACCTTTGATCCAGCTGTCGGCGTGTTGAGCATTATAGAATTGATCTTGCACATGCACCTCATCAGGCGTGATGCGTACCACGGGGCCTGAGAAAGTTAGCATGAGAGTACGACAGCGGGAGCTTTACGGGGAAGAGGAACAGAGAGGGACAGAAAGGGACACTGACCATATTTCTCGTGCATTCGCTCGATTTCATCTTCAAATGAGCCGGTCCCCCAGGCGGCAAAGTAGATCTCGTATAGACCGGTTAACGCAGCTAAACGTGGCCCGGGGAATTTGCTGAGTGGGTGGATGTGCACACGGTAGATAATCGTGACCAGGAAATATGCCACGAGGCTGCCTAGCAAAAAGCATGGAATCATAATGATGGTGGAAGGCGATAGTGCTAGCAATTTGCAATTCGAAATCGGAAAAGCTGTGGTCGTTTGGTCGCTCGTCTAGTCAACCGAGGTCGCTGATTTGGATGCCAGAATCTCCAGGTCAAGCCGTGAAGCGGGGAAGATATAGGTAGAGAGTGCTGCTTCTCTACCTCTTCGTAATATCGGTTCGAATTTCGTATCTCTCACCTCACTAGGTCCCAGTGAGATCGGCAGAGGGTGTGGTGATACGGCATCAAATCTTCCCTGAACAAGATGAGATTACCCGCACGGGCGGGATGAAAGGTCGCACGAGTTGCAAAATTGGGGATGCTGCATTTACAAGCTCCCAAGCCGTCGAAATTTCTTCCATCAAAGGCACAGACCAACTGCTCCCAAGCGTCCGACGGTGTCCTGCAAGTTGTCAGATCGTGGGGGGGATCAACAGCGTGACGATGTATCATTGGCTGGTCGACGATTTATACCGCTTCTTGTAGGCCTGGGCCACAGACATGGCGACTCCCGCCTTTCTCCATATCACTGTTAATTGGCTTTCGATCCTTCTGTGGAGCACAAGGCACAGAGGAAGTTCGAGAGAATGGGGATGGCTGGGATCGTGTTGGATCCGAGCCGAGACCGCCAGTGTAGACCGCTATTTTGGCTCGTCTCTGATTCTTGCCCGCTCTGTGATCAATCACTTTGCCCACTTTATGCAGCCTACAAACGCTAGCGGGCGTCATGCTGCATTTGGCTTGGTGTTGTGGATTTTTTTAATCGACTCCGGAGAAAATGTCAACCAAACAGCCTCGACCAGCCCGTCCGATCGGGTTTCGATCTCGTGAGGTTGCCGTGCTGATGCCACTCAGAAACACCCTCCTTTCTCGTCAAAAATCAATAAATGACCATCGAATTGGCAATAATTAGCGTTTTGCCGAGCTGCGTTTAGGTTATGGGCTAACTGCAGGGCTAACAGGCTTGGGTTACACAATCTGCTACGTGGACGTGGGGCAAACATTACACAAAAGATCTGAGCAACCCCGTCCGTCATCACACATCAGCAATCGCTGGAGATTCATCATACTGCATGAAATTCTATATCTTCGCCAATTGGGACGAATCTCTCTACTTTTACAGTTGTTCCACGGACGATATTGTAGTGATGGGCATATTCTGATTGGACTATGGTCTCTTTCCAGGGCTATATCACTGCCCTAATGGGTGTTTCAAACTATGAGATGAGTTGTAACTGTTATTTAATTCGTTCGAGTCGTAATCATCAACATAGAGCTTTTTCTCTAACCCCTCGTCACGAGAAACGCTTACGTGCTACCTAAGAAGCACCTAGGCATGAACTTTCTCACGAGAAATTAATATTGAAAGACCGTAGGCATTATCGGTTATAAGGGGAGGCTATATTTAACCATATGTTCAAGGCTCCAACAAACCGCCAACTTCCACTCAGACACCCGAGTCCTCTTGCTCGATACTGAATTCCCCATCATATTCAATCCACGATTGACAGTTATCGTTCACATAGTCATAATTTATCAACTCCTTAGCTTCGTCATATCGCTCGATGAATTGAAGAGCAAATCCTTCTGATGTATGCCACCCAATGTGGCAATGCATCAACCAGGCACCGGGGTTGTCCGTCTCCCAAGCCATGAGTAAGTAGCCACTGCTTTCCAAAAGGGCAGTATCTCGGCGTGGCGGGTTTGATGTAACAGTAGTCCCATCCCAAGGCCCAGTACCTTGTGCCAAGATAAAGAAATCATGACCATGCAAATGAATTGGATGGGCTACCGGCATTGAGGTATTGATCAGGAGATAGACCCACTCGTTGGCATTCGGGAGCTCAATGACACCGCTCGAAGCCTCCCACTCTGTTGTCCCATCATGGATCTGTAACAGAGTCGGGTCCTCCCATTCAACCTGCATGGTGGTGCTATTTAGGTACCAACGGAAGAGGTTGTTCGTATTCTTGGAAACAGTAACATCGGTCATGGCATCCCAGCCAGCGGCTGAAACTGATTTGGGGACAATGGGGACAAGCTTGCTCATGTCTTCGTCAAGGCATATATCGTCAAATTGCCATGGTGATGTATTGGGGGTTCCAACCTTGCCGTAATAGTGCAAGATGCCTTTAATGCCCTCCACATTATCGTTCTCCGAGCAATCTGTTTGAGGAACTGCCCGAATCCAGTGGTTTCTGGCATTGGGCTGATTTGCAGTGACGATAATATCATACCGTTGTCCTAGGCTATAATATTAGTATTATTTTCCGTTCGTATTGCAATATAGTTTTGACTGAGCAACATACCCATTCCGATATTGATGTACTCAGTGGTATATGGCTTGATTGGTACAAAGTCCATAGCAATCACCGTGAGTTGGTGATTATCAATCATGAATTTCCAGTGAGTATCAATAGCCGCATTCAGAACTCGAAGGCGATAGGATTCTCCTTTATTAGCGCGCATTGTGAAATAGGAACCAGTATCGTTGTACTTGTTTGTCCCGTTGATGAGCCCTGTGTCGAGAGTTGGTGGACCTACAGCCTGAGCGTAGGTGTAGAGTTCATCCGCAGTTCGGTGGGACCAATCGTTCAGAAATAGCATGCCTTTGTCGACATCATAGTTCTTACTTGCAGGGCCGTTGATGATAATACCACCAAAGACACCTTCCCAAGCTTGGAGACCAATGTGGGAGTGGTACCAAGATGATCCATACTGGGCAGCACGCCATTTGTATGTGATACTTGACCCAGGTGCCGTGGGACACTGGGTTATTGAGACAACACCATCATTCTGGTTGGTATAGTTCTGGCGAATTCCATGCCAATGGATGCTGGTTCCGTTTCTGGATTCATCCAGATGGTTCGTAACGTGAACAACGACATTGTCTCCCCAGTCTGCGTAAATTGTAGGCCCGGGAATTGTCCCATTAACAGCCATTGCAAAACGCTCGATTCCATCTGGGGCGACGTTAATCTCATCAATTGATAGCCAATATTCACGGGTAACGCCTGTGTTTGGTACAGTCTGTGTATAGTCCGTATTGATATCGTAGTCACACCACTTTGTTCTCTTGTGGGCAGTATTTCCAGCACATGGCTTGGCTTTCTGAGGGCTTTTTGACTTGCGTGCCTCAAGCTGCGGGATAGTGAATGCAGCTGCGGCCAGCGCATATGCCAGAAAAAGGAATTTCTGTGGCCTCATAGTGATTCTCTATACCTGAGCTCGACAGGGTATGTTTTTAGAAAGGCACTTTCATGTAACACAAAGGCAAAGAAACATAAAAGATAGTACCGGAGGCTCGAAAATAAAACGAAAAGCAGTGCGAGTGAAGGTATGACGCTCTAGGGCTAGTATATATGCGAAATACCTTTTAGGTCATATAAACGAGATACTACCTTTCGTAACAAGGCTGAGCTGGCCATGCTCTAAAATCTCACTTGACTTATCTTACGGCGTGTCCGAGCCGCCGGGGCAATCCGCAATTCCTGAGATGCAGATGGAATCAGGGCCAATATCTTGTTAATCGGGATAAGATACGCAATGAACCCAGATGGTATGATCTCACTAGTCATTCATGGTTGGCCTCGTGAGGCTTTTCGCCAGTAATTGCCCTAGTAGGTATCTTTCCGCGGTATGCTTGGGCGAGATGCTTTCTTCCCCTCATCATTCTGCATGATATAGTATCCCCAATGTCCCCGATAAGGCAACTAGGGCTGCATGTCTCAGAATCACGAATCTCAACTATATTTCTACATGAATAACTCAGGTGTTCAGATCTGGCTAAGGCTTTCCCCACGAGGTCTATTTTTCGTGCATTAACCAGTCAGGGTTCGTTCTGACTAGAGTCTGTGTTATCCAAAGAATAAGCCCGGGCACAAAAGACTCTTACTACTTCTTAGGCCGCCGGGGGCTGAGGTGGCGTTGCCTCCATGTGGGAGGAGTCGGTGGACAGTTGACTCCGCGAAAGCAGGTCAATGCAAAGTACGTTATTGAATCAAAAGCCGGGAGCAAATCATATCTGCAGCTGATCTGCAGATTGTGGGCCTAATCATGTCTTGGTGGGCGGGACGTCAGAGTGATTATACTTCCGGCATCTTTATGCGAGGCTCAGAGGATCAAGGGGCCGCCAGGTATTAGTAGTCCTCAGACATTGGGATTATCAACCACACCCCGAAGATATAATCCAAACCGAAAACCTTTTGCTTTTACACAGTTCCGCCCTCTATTGCCCTTGGAATCCAGTGTCCTTTTTATTTTCTCCTCCTCTTCTTCGCTGTTGAATAAGAGTTGTATGCCCCTGCATTGATTTTATGTCCCTTGTGCGTACATGTTACACTCAGCCATGTTTCGCCTTTTTTCCATAATCGCTTTACTCATTGCAGCCCTGGGATCTGTTGGTCTCGCTCGGCCACTGGAAAAGCGTACTGAAGAGTTTGGCATATACGCCTTTGGCGACAAAATCAGTGGACTGCAGATTTACTATTCAAATGGTAAGTGTTGGGATACTCTCGGCTCGGAAAATCTGGCCCTGCTACGAGGGACTTTCTGATCAACAATTCTGCTTGTCTCTAGGTGCCGCCTTGATAGGCGATCCAACTCAATCCAAGAACTCAACCGACGTGCTGCCGGTCACCTGTGCGTATCTCCCCCCCCCCCCCGGCACTTGGGCCGCCTTGATGCAGAATGTATGTCCACCCGTGTACTCATTCCTCGTTAACTTAGTCACGGTTTCTGGCTCGGATGGAAACACCTTTACTGTGCACTCCGAGAGCAAGGCCAAGTCTTTGACTGACCAAGCCCTTTACATATCGAATGATGGATCAGACAAAGTCGGCTTTTCCTCATCTACCGAACGGAGCAGTGGAAAGTTAACCGACATTTGGTGGCTATACGGACGTTACGTTATGACCAACGTCGAAGGAGCAACCTTCTACGCCGAGCCAACTTCTGACGGGTGGTATACTTTGTCGTGGAGTTCGGCAGATCAAACAGGAACGAATAAGGTACTGGTCACACTGCGTACTATTGAGCCCTCAACCACTTCTGTTTTGGCCTGAGCCCGGTTGGGAGAAGAATAAATCATGGAACGGCGGGTGTGGCGCGAGCGTAGGCGGCTGAATTGAGCGATCGTGTGAATAGTTACGAGAAATGAGAATGTCGTGTGTTGGTAGCCAAGAAGATTATCATGGATAGTGCTTAAGTAGCCCAAGCAATCAGAGGGGCTCTGCCAATCACTTGAACCCAATGCGCAAGCCAGGGCTTAGACAGCCGTACAGAGCTGACCTTCCGAGAGTATTCCGATATTGTGGCTTCGGTATAATCCTGTCTACATCCTGGCCAGATCATGCATGGGGGTGGATCCCGAACGATCGGTGAGATCAACCGTTCCTTGTCGGCCACGTCAATACGCCAGCGGGGTGGGGGCGAATCCATCCAAGGAGGGGGCGCGGTGGCTACGAGTAGCTAATTGTCTTTCTCGTGTCAGCTGTCTCGGCTTATGATCATTATAACTCGTTCGCTGGGCGAGCTTACTGGCCGATACCATCCCCCCTGTAGCCCTAGATATTGACTTTCGGGTTCATTTGCCGAAGAGCATAACTAAGGATTGGTAACTAAGGATTGGGTTTGTTCGGAATGAAGGTGGGTAGCCTGGGGCGAGGACCACCCCGTGCACATGGAGAGATAATCATCAAATAATGGGGCTATACAAGATCTGCCTAGAAGTCCTGATTCGCCCTGTTTGTCCATTAACTGATGGCGATCTCGGAGCAAAAGATAATGGCGCTAGCAAGGATAGATCGCATTGATGTACATACTAGAAGTGGAACCGCGGGCGACAGTGATCCCGCTATGCGAAATGGGGCGGAAATCAACCGATCACTGGGATAGAGGGCTATTAATACATAGTCCGAGGCTCATGTCTTGAATTCATACATAAACCTGACCTAATGCAATTTCTAGCCCGCCTTGGCTTAATATCAAGCTCGTATTTTAGTTTGTTTTTCCAGTCTACCGGGGGTCAAGTCAATCCCGTATGACACGCTAATGTCACATGGCACGACATTCGCATATGGTTTCCCTCAACAAGTCCATCTGCATTTTGAGCCCTCAGGCGTGCATAGTTTATGATAAGCGGCGAAAAAGAATCATCATCGTGTCGTCCCATATTCAGCTATTCGACCTGTCAATTCGATTAGGCGTGCTTTGATTCAGTGCGAGTCTGATTCCGTCTGACCCCATCTACAAGAGATACCTGCGCCCGATGTAGATAAAGAGTGCGAGGCTCGTATGCATCTAAAGGCTGGTTTCGGCTTCCTTGTCCGAATATGAGTAGCTACAAGTAGTCCAAGTTTCTATTTCATGATAGTAATGGTGTATCTCACAAAGATTCAACTTTGAAGACACTTCCTCGATTTTGGAAACTTCACCAAATAAATTACACCTTTCGGTATGTACTGTCTCTCACCTCCCACGAAATTGATCGCGCTAATTTGCAAAGGTACTAGTAGCTTCTCAGGAGCCACGAGCTAAATTCCGGGACTCGGGTTTCCTGACATATTCAACGAGAACTAATCAACTTTAGTACCGCTCATGTTTGTACGTGTTTCACTATCCTCAGAAATCATTGGCATTCAGGTCAACTTGAATCACCTGGACACACAGTAAATCACTCATCCCAAATGATACATATCACATTCACGGAATGAAACTAGAATCCGGTGTTGAAATGCCTTGTTTCACTTTCTGCCCCAGAGTTACATTCTCGATAGCACTCTCCTTAGAAAGTCCCTGTCAGACATGACGGTTGCGATTCCCTGTCTATGGCTGCCTGACACCTACTGCGTCGAATATACTACTAGTATGGAATGAACTAAATTAACCAAGAAACGCCGTGGCTTCAAAGCGCCACATATGGGCCCACCCCAGTGAATATTTCCAAGGTTAGTGCGATGAATAATTACTTACTCGCTCATGGGGTCCACTATATTCGAGGGCCGAGACGGTTGAAGTTGCTTCCAAGGTTTTCGAAACATAAATTATTGAATACATTGAATATTTTACTCTTCTGGTGAGTCTTAGCATACTAAATATGGGAGACCGTAGAGCTCCTCAAAAGAGCCACCGGTCCACAATTTGTGAAATCTTTCTCCATATACTGTATAAGTAGAGGAAGTTACTCTATGCTTTCTTCTCATCCTGTACTTCCTCGGGCTGAGGGGCGCTCCGCCCAGATTGTTGACCAGACAAGAAGCTAACAGCCCCGGGACCAGTGAAATTTTTCCGCCCCGTCGTAATCCAAGTAATCAGGCTGATTAGACCAATAACGCCAATCGCTGCACTGGTATAATTCATAGATTGGTGGTCAACCGGCGCTGTGCTGGGGAAGTTAAAGGTGATAGAGGCGAACAAAAGGAAAATGAGGCCAAAAATATTGAGGCCGATAGATACGGGCGTGGAGAAGGCATATGGTCCTTCCATTTTGGTAACATGGCCAGTAAAGTAGCCTACCAGTCGACTCAGGAGTGCCATTGCGTAAGAAAGATCTGCGTTGTTCAGCGTCAGCGATGTCAACTCATATTGAGCCAGGAATTCACTTACAAAAGCCTTCCGTTGCGATGGAGATGACTGTCTCGAAGCCGGTCGTTGTGCCAAATTCGATAGCATCGAGGGCTAGCTGCACCACAAGAGTAAGCAACACAGCATTCACTGGGACCTGACTCTTGCTTTCCACTTTGCTGAAGAACTTCGAAAAAAGGGAGACCGTTGTCACGAGCAAAGGCGTAGACGGATCGTGAGCCCTCTGCCAAGATATTGTTTCCGGCTACAATGACAATCACTGCGATCAGACTGGAGAGGATGCAAGTGGCAGCTTTGTTTCCAGTAGAGTCATAGATGATCTGAATAACGGGGACGCCAGTGCTGCTATTGGCGGTCTCGGCAATATCTCCGATGCAGAAACAGAGAGTCAGAAGGAATACAAATCCAGTGACAGCGCCCAAAACTACCGCGAGCACAATTGCTTTGGGGGCCTCCTTGGATGCCGATTTCATCTCCTCTGTCATATGCGAAGGCGCATCGTAGCAGCACATGCCAAAGCAGGCTTGCAAAATACCGATGATGGCTGCCATGCCTGTACCCCAGCCTGTTGTATTCTGGAAGTCCTGGAACACGAAGGAAGCCGGTTGCTTGTGATCATTTGTTGCGAGGAGGGTGATAGTCACAACAATAAAAGAGCCAACGTTCCAAATCAATATGAATTTGGAAATACGATGGAGCAGGTGGGATCCCCAGATGTTAACACCGGTCCCGAGAATAGCAACCAAATAGGCCACCAGGACGGTCTGCCATCGCTCAATAACATATTCGGGGAAAATTAAGTTTGCCATTCCAAGCACAAAATTTGAAGCGATATAGTTGTTCGTGGCTCCCATCGCGAGAAGACCTACGTAAGCGTCAGCTTTTGCCTCCAATTGGATTGTAAACGACGAGTGCAGTCATACCAATTAGCATAAACCATCCAGTCACATATGACAGGCCTCGTGCATACCTAGGGGGGCGTTAAGGCAGCCACCCAAGAGTATTGGCCTCCTGCCACGGGGTACATAGAACACATCTCCGCCATGGGGATCGCCACAGCCAGGGTTAGGAGGGAAACCCCAATGAAACTGAATACCATCACAGGTGGACCACCGGAGTTGACACCGACAATGAACACACCGCTTAGAGCGGTCCATCTGAATAGTCATCAGTAATGCCTCTTTGTTTTATTCGTGCTTTGGGGCGCTCCTCACGATGTCACAACACTGAAACTGAACCCAATCATACTGAGTAATCCAAAGGAGCGCTTGAGCTCTAGAGGATTGTCAGTAAACTTCCCCGTCCACCGAATAAATTTGTTTCCCAAGAGGATGCCCACCTTGCTCATAGCCCAGATTCTCGAGTCGCACATCCTCGGTGGTGGTGCCTTTGAAGACTTGGTCATGCTCATCGCCGTTCGACATGGTGGCAAAAGAAGTTTTCTATTTCAACATGCAGAAGTCCGCAATAGAGAATTCAACGGTAGTGGCGGGTGACAGTCCATTCTTTAAACAGTTCAAGGCGCCCAATGCACCTTTCCTCTTTCCCCATACTCTCCTAGACAACCCCATGGAGGTCCCAAAGTCACATTCAGTTCGATAAGATAGATGGACCCTATGACTTCCTGATCGAGAAGGTCTCCGCGACTGAAGTGGAGACCGGTATGCCAGTCCCGGTCCAGCAGCGAACTTTCTCGGGATTTTTGCGGGGAGCAAGACAGGGCCTCAAGACGCCTACCGATAAGCCGGGGTCGGAGAGCCTGTCATTTGTCGGGGAACCTTCAGACCCAGAGGTCGATATGTGCCAATGAAGGGTTTATCGTGAGTATTGTGTAATGAGAAAACGGCGAAGGCGCTCCCCATCTCCTGAGGTTACCCTTGTTGATCTAGTTCAACGATAAAGCCAAGAACGACCCTGTCATGGTCCCAGATTGATGGAATGACCAAGCTTCGCCTTGGCCGATGCTACGGCCTTCTTGTTTCGTCCTGCAGACAATAGCCGCCCCAATCGGATGAACAAACGGAGTTGGACCGAGAGACTGCCTGAGGCAATGAAGCTGGTGTCCTAAATAGGAAATAGGGCTTAGGGCTTCGGAACAGCCACTTTCCGACGAGTCAGAGAGCGTATTTTTGGATTACACCCCCCCTCGTATCTGCCCACTGGAGCATGTATGGCCCCAACTGCAGATTTGATGCAGATGCCCATAAATCAAGCTTACTTTCAGCCTCAAAACTTGTCTAATTACTAGATCAAATTACCGAGACACTGTATGATGTTCATCGCAAGTTCTTTTTCCTCATCTCCAGTCATAGGCCCAAGCCATTCATTCGATACACCCCCATGATGTCTGCTGTATCGACAATACACCTCGGCACCTCTAACATCCTTGGATAGTACGATCAGATTTCCCCCATAAAGCCCAACGGCCGAGCAAAGAGCACTTGGGCCAATGTGGGTAGGAGACCACGAGTCCTCGGCGGAAACAAGTGTATCCGTTTTCCGTTTACACGCCATCAATGCTTTCTATTTAAACCGCCTCCCCCTGTAGTCTGCTCATAGCAAAATCACGAAATTTTTATATCATCTCCCCAGTCACAAATCCTACCCTCACAACAAAATGACTAAAATTGAGGCCTCCGAGCAAATCCTTGCTGGCAAGACATGCCTAATCACCGGCGGCGGTGGCGGTCTTGGAAAAGCCATCGCGATCAAATTCCTTGAGGCCGGTGCCAACGTGGTCATCTGTGATATCAACGAAGAACGTCTCCAGGAGACTTCGGCAGAACTGTCTTCCAAAGGCCCATTGAAGGCTATTAAGGCTGACATTACCAAAAAGAACGAAGTTGAGGCTCTTTTCGCCGAGCTGATCGAAGCATTTGGGAAGATCGATGTGCTCGTCAACAATGCCGCCATTATGGATACCTTCAATCCTGTCGGTGACCTCGAAATCGACCAATGGGACCGTGTTATGGCTCTCAATCTTACCGCGCCTTTTGTCTTGAGCAAGCTCGCTGTTCGCAACATGTTGGAACAATCCAACCCAGATGGTCGAATCATCAACATTACATCCGTGGCAGGTCGTGCTGGATGGGCCGGTGGTATGTGCAGAATCCTCTCATTTCTTCTTCTATCTATCCCATCTAACAACTCCTAGGTGCTGCGTATACGGCCAGCAAGCACGGCCTTGTCGGACTGACGAAAAACACCGCTGCATTCTATGGAAACAAGGGTATTAAGTGCAATGCGCTCATGATGGGTGGCATGAATACCAACATTGCCGATGTATTCAAGAACGGGATGCACATGGAGGGGTACCAAAAGTTCAGTACGGTTTATGAAGCCGTCAAAGCCCCCCATGTGCGATGTGGATGAGGTCGCCGGCTTATGTACTAACCTGACTTATGGCAAGGGGGCTAGCATCATCAATGGTGCCTGCATTGCTGTTGACAACGGCTGGAGCTGTGTTGTTGGCTGAATAAGAACATCTTCTTTCAAAATAATTGTATAATCCGTTTTCTGGCTGGTTTCCATGCACATACTTATGTACTATATTCAAGAAAGCGAAACAATCTAATACAATCAACCAGCATTCGTGCAAATTTTTGAATTATCGCTCCAGAGGGTTGGGCGCCATCCCAGGTGCCTCTTCCCACTGCTCCGCTCCTTCGGGAATATCCATGATCGCATGTTTGGTCCATATATGGATAATTCCACTCATTAATTCCTTGTCCAGATCCTCGAGACACCCCCCTTTCACATTCGATGTCGCCTTGAGATCGGGTTTCTCGCCGGGTGAGGGAACATAGTCACGGAATCGATGTAACAAACGAGCTCCGCAGCCTTTACAAAACAAGCATTCCATGTGGCGACCCTTTATGGTGATTCGAGTGTAACTCCCCACAAGGTCTGATACAGAGTCTGGAAGCTCGAAGTAGGGAAATACGGCTGTAATTCCAAAGGCGGAGGAGCTCTGGTGCCTACACTCAGTGCAGTGACAGGCGTAAATCGCCAGGGGTTTGTCGGCCGAGGTGGTAAACTGGATCTTGGAACATTGGCAACGCGCTTTCATTCCCATTTTGATGATAAATATGGGATTTCGGGGGGTTTGAGAAGAATATTTCAAGAGGTGAGTCTGGACGCGTGGTTGGAAATGAGGGGTAGATGACTGATTTGAATGCGAGTTTTGCCGATTGACAGTAGTTCCGTTGACCTGGCGAACATTCATTTACTAGTACAATCCAACACAAGCCTGTATGAATATCTGTCTTGGCTTTGAGATTTAGACAAATCACCAATATGAGAATATGAGAATATGAGAATATGACAATATGAGAATATGACAATATGAGAATATGACAATATGAGAATATGAGAGAAACTACCCGATATAATCTTCGACCATACAGAATTTGTGAACGGCGGCAGCATCTCCCCATAGCATTTGATTTATCACTTCTGTCTCTGCTTTAGAGATATTGCATCTATCTCGAATACTAAATTCCTTGAAGTTCCTCCGAATCACATCTGGATTCCACCAAGGTACCCACCTATTCTCTTATTGAAGATTCAATCTAAATAAGTAGAAAAACAAAAGAAGTCCCGGCCTGAACTAGTTTGAAAATCTTCATTGTTACATTCGAACACCACCTGGATATGGTTAGATCTGACCAAATACTTCTAGCGCAGTCACCGACCTGAGCTATCTAGATAAAAGTTCATCTACGACCTCTCTCTTCCCGCCCAGCCAATCATCCCAACAAAGCGAGAGATATGCCGTATCCCGACCTCCATCTTTCTCTTCTCCATATGACGGTTTTTCGCGCCCGTTATGTACCTTTCCTCTCGCGTCGGCGTCGGGAACGACTTTATTCCACCGTAGGATTCCCTCCAGTTGAAACCCCATCCTTTGGGCGGCGGATAGCGACGCCTTATTCGGAGGATCAGCAAGCCATTGCATCCGACGAAGGCCTAAACCACCTTGCTCCGCAGAATCTAGAGCATAATGAAGAAGGAGTCCGACTGCATGGGTTGTGACGTGAGTTCGCTGGTACGGAGGGAGAATAATGATGTACCCAACCTCCGCGGAGAGGTGAGCCGCCGAGGCAGCCATGTATGAAACCATCCCAGCGAGTTCACCTTCCGGGTCGATCACTGAAGGTGGCTTCTTCTTATCGATAACCGCGAAGCACACAACTGATGGTTGTGCATTCACAAAGTTCTCGATAAATTTGGTCACGAACTCTTGCTCTGTGTCAAAGGGTCCGATAGACATATACCTGTAGAGCTCTGGATGGTCCTTGGATCCGTCGAAGAAAGGTTTAGCATGCTTGCTAACCTTTTCTCATGTTAGTCACAGGGTCGTATCTTAATCCAGGGGACCTACATTGAATGGCGTTAACTTAACCAAGTCATCGGACAACTCTCGTACAGGAAAGCAGAAGTCAATCGGCGTAACCATTGTAGCAGGTGGTAACACAATAATGGTGTAATTGCTGCTTAGAGTGCTTGGGGCGGGTCAAGATTTGTCGATGAGGGGTTGTCTGACCTTTGCGAGCCACAGGCGTGGGCATGATCGGCAAGGCTGCAGCGGTGTTGCATTTAAGTTCGGACCTTTTCTTTTGCTCATCAACTTGGCTAATTGGGGCAGTCGGATCTATATTCCGGTATCCTCTGATGTTTGTTACAGATTGAATATTGCAATTGATATTAGAAAGCAGAAGTCCAAATCATACGTTTGGTATTGGTTGAGGCAAAGTCATGTGGCGTACATGGTACGTGAGATGTATTGGCTCCGACTTCTTTTCAATTACACAGTATGGAAATAATAACTCCCGCTTACTCATATCAGTCTAGTATCCAGCTTTCTTCCACTTTCCCATGGTTGGCTACCATTCCTAATAAGTGTTGTATCCACACCAAGAGTGATATACCCAACCATCCCCTGTGTTACACTTTTCTGATCAACAGGGACGATATGGATAATAGGATTAAATCCACCCGCCGAATCCATTGAAAATAAAGGGTCCTCCGCGTTTTTTATGCGAGCAATCTGCGTGTGGGACGCATAGGGCTCAAGTGCCATGATTGCCGCAGAAACCTTCTCCGGGAAATAGATCTGTCCAGTGCTGATAGTGTTACCGGTAACGATTGTTCCATTCTCACGCAGCTTCCAGCTAGGATGTACCTGAACGTGAATGTGAATCGAACGGTCGTCATAAAATCCTTGAGCGAACATTAGCACCAGAATTCCCCCCCAAAAGGCGTGGTCACATACCGGGAAAAATAGTTTTCATTGCCGTAATCCCGTGGCTATCAGTGGGCCAAAGTCCTCGTAGCCAGGTAGAGCGATCAGTATGAATATCAGTGAGTCCCATCTGACAGTTAGAGATATTCAGTTCCTGTAGGAGTTGTGGGAATGGTATATTGGGCGAAAGGCCTGTGAAACTGGAGTATGATCCTGTGGCATTGCAGTGCCATATATCAACCAAAAAATCACTGAGAGGATCGCATGTATCCATATCAATGATACCAATGTCAAGCCACAAGGGTACACCTGGCTGATTTTCTGTTATATCTTGGCAAAGGGTCTGAGAAGGTGGGTATACGTAAGGTCCTGAAATCCCTTCTGGTGTTAACACCCATGTATCATTCGGGATCACGTCGTAGTAAGGTGCCTCGGTGTAGATAGTGTAGTTGCCCAGGTGGTGTAGTTGTCATGTCAGCGTCGAGCTATATTTCTATCCCAGCGGTTCTGGTGGAATTTGGTCACCTTCTGGCGACATTGCTGAGACATTGCAGAGCTTCAAGCGATATTCTCGTGATTTAGTATTTGATGCCTGTCGGGGTGCGTCATTGCCAGACATCCCAAAAGTACAATCGAGAATACAGTATATATCATCTGCATTATGAATAAACTTGAAGGATACTGATCATCTTCCGTGACATACAGCCTTTTACCACTAGAAGAGGGCTCACCCATATAAATATACACTAGTAGAATGATATTCAAAGGACCGTGACTCTATCGGAAGAAATACCTAGGTATCGATAGTAGAAGTCTTGGTTGTGGGTCAAAGTATAACCATATTATCGGTGATGCTGACCCGATGCAGTGGAGACCAACTACGGATTTGAAGTTTCCATTTCCTCCGTTAAATGATACTATATTGCATTCAGATCTGGAAGCCGATAGATGTGACGCGTGTTGAATTAACCTGGGATGATAAATCACTAGTAGTGGATTTGACCATCTTCCGAATCGCTATGAATTCCAGAATAATCTCAAATCTTTCAAAACAAAATTCTTATTTGTCTACACTCCTAGTCACACGAACATGGAATAAGTTTATCCTTGGCTGTCGAATACAGAGACTGGGCTCGTTATTAGAACCTGTATAAGTTGAAGACTTCTTGACAGGACCGACGACAAAATCTTCTATCTGATCGAACCTTGGAATTAAGGGCCATTTTTTGACGGTGACTCGGGTCTATCTAAGCACTCCTATTATGAGAAACCCATGCTTGCTCGTATCTTGAATGCTGAGCCACCATCGCTCGGTCAGAACCGATAATCACAGCGCGCCGAGACAGCCCATCCGATATGAAAATAGCAGCAAGACATATGACGTACGTAGTTTCTTATTTAGAAGCCTTGTCGAGAAGTATCTGACTCGCGAGTGCATGTATTTCAATCACCACAGCAGCTGTAGCTCTGTGTTGTACACTTAAGTATCCAGAGCGAGTCTGTGGACAGCAAAAACAGCCCACGATACAAAAATCAAAGATTTTGCTCCTATCTTTAGTATGTACAAGTAGCTGGTGAGGGGGAATTCAATCGAGCGACCTAGAGTGTAGATAAATGTGGGATGAGGACGGTGAGTTACAGTGAAGAAAGGACAGATTCTGAGGTTCCGTGTAGTAGTAGGGGTCTAAAAGCCGAAGCAAGCTATATTGGATTTAGCTCAGTTTCATGGCTCCTCTTGTCGGCTGCCCGAGAAAGGTGATTTTTGAGGTTTCATATTTTAACAAACGTGTCTATGCCAGCTATTCTGGAAGTTGCCCTTGGTATATCCTTGTTGGTCACTTCTAGTAGATCATGAGTTCACATTCTAACCCCTCATAGTTAAAATAACCTCCATGCTGTCACCACAGCTCTTGTTTCACGCAAACCCACGGAGGCTCCGCGGACTGCAACAGCCACAAATGAGATAAATAGTTAAAAAGGTTAAACAGGTCGAATATTCAGCTGCCAAAAAAGAGCAATAACCTCCCGTATATTGGGCAACGAAAATTAATAGGCTCCCCACACCAGTCTTCTGTAAATCCCGCATCTCCACCATATTGCAGAAATTATCTGGAATGAACTCGTAGTGAATGGAATGTGCTGAATGAAACCTGAATGCCACATGGGCAGTCTTTGGTCATCGTATCCAGTCAAGAGGGCGGTCCTGGCCGCTAGCCCCTCCTCATCTGCTCTGCTTCCACCTCTTATACCAGCCGTTTTCCTGATGAGCGCGCTAGACGCTACTTTTAGAAAGTTTGATGGTGTGAGTTCGTGGAATGAGCATCTCACGGGATCGCCGACCAGCATATAATACGCTCAAGACATTTCAGACGATAGGCTCCTCGTTTAGCTACTAGTATTCCCTGATTTTGTTTCTCTTTTTTGTTCTGTCGGCCCTTCGCTCCTAGAAAGACTCTCTGGCATGCATTAGGGCTGGAGGTCATGCAGGGGTATCATCAGCAAGGCTACACCGATCTAACCTCCGCTGAGCCACTGTCTTTTCGACAACCACTACTCCATGTGTACTATGTGAGTGGTAGCTCCAATACTGGCCTCCCATCTGGCATCTGGCGGCGACTCAAGGAGGGCTAGACTACATTCCTTCCCGGAGAGTTGCATTTGGAAACTCTGTTCTGCTCAGCTCTCCGTCATCAAGTATCAGGGGGAAGCAGCCTTCGGATAAATCATCGCCGATCGTTACTTGGTGCTGCAAGTCCCCGTCTGTCGTAGCCAGACTAGATGCCAGATCGATCCAGTCTTGCGGTTCGAGCTAGACCTGAAGAAATTCAGCTTGCCTCCACCCTGCGCATTGAACGCCTCCTGACTCATAGCTCTTTCTTTGAGGGTGGTGGGGTAGTAAACAGAGCCACCATCACGGCGAGTCACTCAGCATCCATCCGAGACACCCACACTCACGGGTCCTGAAAGAAGTAAATTACCGGAAATGGCAAAAAGCAAAAAAAGATAAAAAGTAGTAAAGTAGGAAAGAAGAGGTGACATGCGTCATGGATTACAGCCAGTCAGCGTGCGCGGTTTCCTCTCTCCTCGCGAGGTGATAGGTGTCGGCTGATCGGAGAGGTTGAAGGGGAGGACGAATAGTGGTTGGCTGGATACTACAACCCCGAGCGATCGATCCCCCTCTATGGAGCACTGACCAACACTAGCGGGCACCGAACGGTCGTTGGCGCAGTCGCTAGTGCCCGGGATGTCAGCCACGAAGGACGCGGACGCGTGCGAATCACTTTGCGGGATGACCGGGGATGGTCGTCTTCACGCATGACCCCGGGCGATCAACCGCGCCTGGTGTTTGGATCATCGCCCTCCTTTGCCCAGTTGGGGCCAGCCACTGCAGCTGGATCGGGACGGTGCATGATCGGAATTGTAAAGTGATGGGGGTATATCACTCTCCAATGTGTCGCTGTGCCTTGGAAAGAAGCGTAGATACAGTATCTCAGGTCATCCGGTGATGCCGCGTGGAGAAATGGTGGTGTACCTGGGCAAAGGGGTTTCACCGGTGCCTGGCAGATAGTTCATTTAAAAGAAGACTCATCTTTCTCTGTTTCTGTGACTCTCTTTTTTCTTTCTCCTGCTGTCTGATGATAGAAGAAGGCAGAGAGAGCGATCTTTTTTTCTTTTCTTTTTCTCGGTTCGCTTTCCGACTGTCTCCAGAGTGATCCGTATCAGCACGACATTACAGATCAATCCTCAATCCTGTCGCGACGGCCCGCAGACTAGCGAGGTCCTCGATTCGCGATTTGCGCCTTGGTGCCCCACAGTTGAAAACCCAGGTTTGCAAAGTGGTCTAGAACGGAATCACGGAATAAACGGGAAGACGGAAGTCACTGGCTGAATGCCACCAACCGCACCGTCTCGGGAGGGAGGAATGAGACTGGATTCAAAGTGAGTGAAGTGAATCAACTCCGGAGGATATCGGTTGGCGCGTGTACGGCGGAAGAGCAAAAAGGGACGGAGGGGAGTGAGTACGAGTGCAGAGTGCATAGTGTGTGAGTGGTGTGTGGACGGAAAGAAAAGAGTGTGTGGAGCCAATGACGACATGCGGACCGAGATACAAGGCGGCCCCCGGATTAGGAAAGCCACAATAATTTGAGGAAAGAGCGACGCACTAACATATTCCATGACTTCCTTTGCAGATGCGAAGAAAACAAGTAAAATACTCCCGTCCTTCCTCATCGCAATCTTCTTCCGATTCTTACCCCTCTTCCCTTACTTCTCACGGCAGTAAGTTGACTTGACTTCTCTTCTCTTCTTCACCCTTGTTACTATTCTATCCAACAACACACCACAATTTCAACATTCTCCGCCTGTCTCCGCGGGTTTCCGCTCGACACGTGTGACATTCTCGGTTTCATTCCATATCTGATCGCCTGCATCTTAGGCCTCTCCTCTGCTTCTCCTCGTTCGCTGCCATATCGACCGCGCGATCATCTTGAGAGTTTATTCCTCAAGCACGGATACCCCACTCCCGTCTCTCTCTCCTCCTTGCGAGACCTAACGGCCACTTCATCCACTTATAACCCACCTTCCCCCTCTCTTTCGCCTTCCCCACGCCCTCGTCGTTACCGTCCGCACTACTCCCGGCGCTCGGATCCTCCAATTGACGCCTTGGAGTCTCTATCTCTCTCTTCTTCTTCTACTCGTCCCATTCAAATCCCCCGCCGCCGCGGTTCACTCTACGAGGACGATCTCCCCGTCACCCCGCTGACCGGCCGTTTCGATAAACACTCCTATTTTGAAGACTGGGAGCGTGCCTCATCATCGGCAAAGTCCAGGCACCTCTCGAATTCCCGATCAGGTTATCGTTCCCGATATCCAAGAATGCGCTCCGACCATTCTCCCTTCGTCTCACCAGCCGGTTCCCCTGTCATGTCTCCACGACGTCCCAGTTCCCCGCAGCCCTCGCGCTCTCGTACTCAAAACTCCGCCAAGTCCATGCCAGGCTTTCATCTCGGCAACTTGCCTCGCTTCCACCCCGCTGTCTATCAGTCTACTCCGTCCGGCCACAGCGCTGCTGGCCAACCTCCATCCCCACGACAAACGCGGCAACACAACTACTGGCCCTCGTCGAATTCCCGCGATATGAAATGGCAATATCGTGATCTTCTCGACGGTTCCCACCAGAGCCCGGAGGCTCCCCGTCTTGACCCTCTCCTCAGCCCGGGTCCCGTCACGCCCTTGGCCCTGGAAGCCAATGACTATCTGGGAGCCGGGTCCTCCGGTGCAACGGACCACCGCACCCCTCGTGAGAATTCAAAGCCACAGTCAGGACCTACACCAGATATGATCGATAAACTGATCGCCCGCGAGAATGAGAAGGCTCGCAAGCGCAAAGCGGCCTTCAGTCGGTGATAATTAGCCTCTGGCTTGCATTCCTCTCTGGTTTATCTTTTGTCCCTATGCTTCACAAGTTTCCTTCCGCGTGATTCCGCTGCAGCTGCTGCTACTGCATCAGAAATTGGTGTTCTTTTGGCCATTTCTATGCGCTTCATCTTGCCATTCCCTTGCTGGCTCGGAGTTTGGTCACACCATCTTCACTCTATTCGAAAACAGATACCAGGTTGGCATTGCCTTGCCTGGAGTTCCCTTTCCTTGGCACGGGTGAACAGTACACACCCCCTCTTTGCCCCAGATCTTATGTTCCTTCTGCATCACGATTCATGTATCTATAATACCCCGATCTCCACATATGGAGACTCATAAACCATATACCGTCCAGAACTGGCCTACTCATTGCATATATTCACTAAAGTGCGCCCCACGTCCAATATATGGGAGACCTAGTACTGAAATTCTGTGCGTAGTGGACGGTGGCACCAATTGGCTTTCTTCGGCCAATTGGGATCGGGTGTCAACCTTCCCAGATTAGTATCATGCATGGTGAAGTGTACAACCATCGGCGCCAGACGTAGCCACCGGAAATTTCCCCTACAAACTTTAATTCATCGTTCTCTGAGTACAGCCCGAGTATTGAGCTTACATTTTCTATCTGGAGAGGTTTTCACTCTGGCAAGGTATTTTTACAGATGCCTGGGCATTATGCGATAAGAGAAAGGGTCCAACTATAGGACTCCTTCTTGTGACAAACGGATGGTTGTTGAACCAAGGTATACCTCATCCGTACGGTATTCCAAGGTTGTCATGTAGCAAACTTCAAAGCTACTAGTACTATATAGGCTACTCTGTTCCCATGGTTTCAATATCCCGAATGGGTCTAGTCATTGAATATGTTGTCTTTCCCTGGTTGGCCGGGAAGGAAGGAGCCTATTTAGGATGCGGACTCTTAGTATTACGAGTACCCTAGGGTAGTAGTAGTAGTAGTAGTATAACAATCAGCCCTTCTTCCCTTCTTCCCTTCTTCCCTTCTTCCCTTCTTCCCTTCTTCCCTTCTTCCCTTCTTCCCTTCTTCCCTCTTTCCATTCTTCCTTCTTCCTTTCCCTTCTGACTTACTCCCCAGACTCTTTTTCATTCTCCCCATCTCCATCCATATCCCCATCTGCTTCCTCTTATCCGCAAGGCTTTTATATCATCACTACTTCCTGCTCCTCCTCCTGCTTCTCCCCCTGTTCCTCCTCCGCCTCGTCATATTATTACTAATTTAACTATTAACTTTGGCCACAGGATTCTGCTCAACCTCACTCTATGCTCATTGCTCGCTCAAACCTCTGGCGATACAAGCTCACCTGAGAACTATACTAACCACCGGCAATAGTTCACTCCTTTCCTACCTTGGCCTTTCCCACCCCTACACTCCCCCACCCCCTTCTGCACTGCGCCATTAATACACTCTAGACTCTAGGCTGTAGTCACCCCAGCACTCCTTGCACATACTACCCACCCCCGGCTTCGGTGAGTCCATCCACCCCCCCCCCCCCTCTCTTTGAAACCTACCAGCAGCAAAAGCGAGCAATGAGCCGAGTATACGACTTCGCAAATGAGCAAATCCCCAGCCTTGGCCGATCCAGGAACATACTTTTTGTATAGTTCCTAGTCGAACGCCACCAAAAGCGATACCTGAGGCATAAAAAGCGGAGCCCGGAGGTCAGCCCTCGCTCCCCGGAGGAACGATGCGGGGCCCTTCAGGGCTTAATTTGAAGAAGCAGCTTAACTCTCCCTCCTCTCCTCCCCAATTGCTCCGGATTCCCCAGAATTAAGTCCCCAGAACATCCGTCAACACTTCCAACGCATCTCCCATTCCCCGCGATCGTCAGCATTGTCGTTAGACCCGGACCCTCCCCCGTCGCACGCGCTTCACGCTAAATCAGATCAAGGCGCCGCTGACGCATCGCATCACTCTCTCCAATCTTGATTCAAAATGTCATCGGCGCAGGCGCCCGTACAGGATCCACCTACATCTGCGCCCGTTGCGACAAATAAGAAGGACTACAAGGGTTTCGTGGCGGGTGTGTTTTCCGGAATCACAAAGCTGAGTGGTAAGTTGATCCTCGAACCTATACTGCGCCGCTCTGATCTCGAGCCAATCACCCTTTCCCAATTGTTTTTTTGCTTTCTGCTAACAAATTGCTACCTCTAGTTGGCCATCCGTATGTTCTATTCCAGCCCCCCCTGCTACTACCGACCCATAGCAAATCCACAATAACTGACGGCATACGCGGTAGATTTGATACCGTCAAGGTCCGGCTTCAGACCAGCAAGGATGGACATTTCAAGGGACCATTGGATTGTACGCTACAGACAGTGCGGAAAGAAGGTGTGAGGGGCCTGTACAAGGGTGCTACGCCTCCGCTGGTCGGATGGATGGTCATGGACTCTGTGTGAGTATTGCCTGGAGAGCGACGAGTGAGCCACAGCTTTGAGCAGGAACTAACGCTGAGAGAACAGCATGCTTGGCTCATTGACGCTCTACCGGCGACTACTGCTTGAGAACGTCTTTTCTCAATCTCATTTACGCTCTTATATCCCATTCTGCCGCAGTCAACCCGATCTGAAGACCCTCCCATCCTTTGGTCACGGTATTGCGGGTATCATGGCCGGCACAACCGTCTCTTTTATCGCTGCGCCCGTCGAACACATCAAGGCCCGGCTTCAAGTTCAGTACGCCGCGGACAAGACCAAGCGCATGTATAGCGGCCCGATTGACTGTCTCCGCAAGATTGTATGTGAAAGAAACGAGGGCTCCGACGTGGTATCCTCCTGTAAACAACCAGCTGACGAAGAAACAGCTTAGCACACATGGCATTCGCGGTGTTTACCGCGGACTCTTTGCAACCATCCTATTCCGCTCCTTTTTCTTCTTTTGGTGGGGCTCATACGACGTTCTCACACGCTACATGAAACAAAACACCGACATGTCCGCGCCCCTAATAAACTTCTGGGCAGGCGGAATCTCTGCCCAGATCTTCTGGCTTACCTCGTACCCTTCCGATGTGGTGAAGCAACGGCTCATGGTTGACCCGATGGGCGGCAAACTTAATGACGGACAGAGGCAGTTCCGAGGCTGGAAGGACGCAGCACGAACTGTCTTCCAAGAGCGTGGCTGGCGAGGATACTGGCGCGGCTTTGTACCCTGCTTCCTCAGAGCATTCCCGGCGAATGCGATGGCCTTGGTGGCATTTGAGGGAGTAATGCGGATGAATTTCTGATTTGTATACTATGTATATACCTAGAAGCGCTCATGAAAAGTAGAGACTAGGCTCATTTTGCTAGCGGATTGTTTTTCCTAATGCATTGTCTGGAGAATGTGTCGGTTTAGAAAAGTTCTTGGCGTTACATATACTAGTAGTATAGTAATGGTGGGATACTACTAGTAAAGATGTAGTAGGATAAGACAGTAACTGTCGAGTTTGCTGCTAAACTGACCACTCAATTAGTTACTCAATCATATATGATAGCTCTTGAATTCGCCATTGGCCGACAATTTGATCTAATGACTGGGATATGTGACTGCACAGATGGAATGTTGATCTTCTGGCCGAACGCGGCCACCGTCGGCCTCCAGCAAGCTGTTTTGGGGATTCCGCCAGAACAGAGGGATTGTCTCCGATTCGCAGCTACCAGCTGTCATTGGGTCAGCGCGTGGCTGAGGGTGTTTCCGTGATAATGATTCGCCAACGGTTGGCTAATAGAGAAGTAGTAATAGTACTGGTAGTAGATTAGGGTGGAGTAGCTAGCACGGAGGCATCCTCTTTCCGGAGAGCGACGGGCAATTTCAATCTCGAGAGTCTTGACTCTTTTTTTTCCTTCTTCTCTTTTCCCTTTCCCAGTGGTATAGAACATGCAGGTTTCCTTTTGGTTTCAACCTTTTGGTCATCTCTGAAGAGCAGGTCTCACCATCTCATCACCATCTCACGGTCTGACGGTCTGGACCCTCTGGCTTGCCTCAGGCACGGGTGATCGACAACAAGTGCGACGTTGGCATCAGCCAAGACCTCTCGCATCAACTTGAACCTAGTCAAACAATCCACAGGAAAAGGGAACGGCCATGGCCGTCGCACGCTCGATGCGACGTACGAGCCCAATTAGCCTACTTCTGGCTGCACTGCTTGCCTTCGGCTTCATCTGTTTCATACTCAGCCCTTCAACCCCTTCTTCTCCCTCCACACCCGCCGAGGCGGCCTCATCGCGTCAACGCCAACAAAACGCCGCCGAACATCATCTCTCCCCACCCACACAACCCTTCCTCAAATCGCAATCCCACCGCAGCAATGGCATGCAAGCTCCCCCCGCCCGTGGTGCATTACAATCTCAACAACCTCACCAGCACAAGCGACTCCATCGCCAACGGCGAGCGCATCCTCATCCTCACCCCACTCGCCCGCTTCTACCAACAATACTGGGACAACCTGGAGAAACTGAGCTACCCACATGAGCTCATTTCCCTCGGCTTCATCGCACCCAAAACAAAAGCCGGAAATGCCGCAATTGCTGCCCTGGAAAAGGCCATCTCGAAGACCCAAAATGGTCCCATCGACAATCGCTTCGCAAGCATCTCCATCCTCCGTCAAGACTTCGATCCACCCCTCACCTCCCAAGACGAAAAAGTCCGGCACAAACTCTCGGCCCAGAAAGAGCGTCGCGAGTCAATGAGTCGCGCCCGGAACAGCCTCGTCTTCACTACCCTAGGTCCCAGCACTTCGTGGGTCCTCTGGTTAGATGCCGACATCGTCGAAACACCCACCTCGTTAATTCAGGATCTAACAAGCCACAACCAACCCGTCATTGTCCCAAACTGCTTCCAGCGGTACTACGATACTCAGTCTCGCAAGTGGGATATCCGCCCATACGACTTTAACTCCTGGATAGACAGCGAGCAGGCACAGGAACTCGCCAAGCAAATGGGCCCAGACGATATCCTACTAGAGGGATACCATGAGCTGCCCACCTACCGCACGCTAATGGCCTACCTGGCTGACCTCAAGGCCCTTGATCCTGGACGTCTCCTCGCCCTCGATGGAGTCGGTGGTACTGCCTTGATGGTCAAAGCTGATGTCCACCGTGACGGCGCCATGTTCCCTGCCTTCCCATTTTTCCACCTCGTTGAAACGGAGGGATTTGCCAAGATGGCTCGTCGGTTGGGGTACGAGGTCTTTGGTCTGCCGGATTATCTCGTAAGTGGAATTTGCTTTGATTGTATCTGTCTTTACTAACAGTTCCCCCTTTTTCAGATTTATCATTATAACGAGTGAATGGGTCAATCCCACCACCTGTAGCTAGCATGTATGAATGTATGCATCGCGCGCTGAGCGCAGCGGTCTGCATCCTATCTGTTCTTGTTGTGAGGAAATGCATTTTCATCAACATGTGTCGGCGTTTTTGTTTACATGGGCCAAATTAGGCTCCTAGGGTCATTTTCAGTATCTATCTTCGTCTTTCTCTTGGGCATGCCTAGGACAATCAGGCTGATTTCTTTCGTCTTGTTTGTGGGAAGACATTCAAGTTGTTATCTTTGTTTGTTGGAGTCGGGCGTGCCATCAATCTAGTCATTGGGAACTCAATACACGAATGAGATGTCAGCACCGGATGCATTCTGCGAAACTGTAAATTTTCGACACTACTAGGATTTTAACTAAATTCTATTCACTAGAAATTAAGATAATCCTCTCATCATTATCTTTGATATCACGCTGATGCGGAATGGCAGGGAGCGAGAGGGTTGTCGTTCCTATGCTTTAGCAAAGCAGGTCTAATCCCAAGAGATTCTAGGTGGCAAAGCATTAGTAGGTTTCAAATATTATAGACATTAGAGACGGGACGACTCACGCAAGCATAATTCCTGCTCCAACAGCAACGGCCAAAAACTGGGTAAGAGTCTTGCGAATCTCGGCCCCCTTGTCCTTGCCCGTCTCCAGCAACTCGGGGATAACTGCCACTGTACCGACATATAGGAAGGTACCCGCAGTAAAAGGCAAAAGCATATCACCCCAGGACAGGCTAGTTCCCCAGAGACCAGAGACAGTGCTATCTTCAAGTACATCGCCGTGGCCGCCAAATTCCTGTACCGCAATTCCAATCAGAGTACCCAAGAAAGCCCCGACGGCCGTGACAAACTGCGCACCCATGGCCTTGCGCTTCGAGAATCCCGACTGCACCAGCAGAGCAAAGTCACCGACCTCATGCGGGATTTCGTGGAAAAAGACGGCAACGGTGGTGGTTGCGCCAATAGTGGGGGAGGCATAGAAAGATGATGAGAGAGCCAGGCCGTCGGTGATGTTGTGCGTGAAGTCCGCAATAAGGTTGAGGTATCCGGCCATCTTGACACTGGGGTTGATTTCCTTTTCGGTAGTCTCGTCCTTGGACCCATCCTCCTGGGCTGATTTGGTTGATTTGCGCTGCTTCAGTTCACCCGATTGGCCATTAGTGTTGGCGCCGGTAGATGAAGCGGTGGTAGAGTCCTCGTGGGTGTGACCGTGTGAGTGGTCGTGGCCTTGGCCGCCGGTTGCGATGCGCAGGGCCTTGTCCATTGCTACGAAAGTGAAGAAGCCCACCATGATGCCCAGTCCCAGGAGGAGATTCTTGTTCGGCTCGACCATGACAAAACTGACGTGGTCTGGGGAGTCCTCGCCAAGGAATATTTCCGGCAGAAGGTGGAAAAGTGTGTCACCTAGGAGACCTCCCACGGCGAAGGCAACCATGATTGATAGGGAAGAGGGGTCGATGTTGGGAGGGCATAGTGCCAGGAGGAAGTCTGGCAATAAGTGATAAGTATTGAGTTTCTTTTAGAGGGTTCTCTGTAGAAATATTTGATGCAGGACGTACTGGGAGGGCCAGAGATATACAAGGTCGCGAGGAGGGAGTTCACGGCCGGGGTAGATGGGAAGAGGACGGCGAAGATTCTCGACGTGAGACTGGCAGTTTCCGGGGTAGTAGCTCGTTTGTGTTCATTGAGAGATTCCACAAGAGGGCAATTCTAGAGCAATTAGCCACGCTGTACTTGTTGGGAAGAAGCCACTGCCGGCGATATTTCATTCAGCTCGCCAGTCATACCTGCAATTGCTCTTCAATCTGGCTGACAGACAGATCTCCAGGGCGAACGTTGGCAGCAGCCAATGCGGAGAACAGGAAGCAGCCTGCAGCGAGCGCAAGACCCGTGCGGCGCGAGGGGAAGAATCGTGAAGCCATTGGAGAAGGGTGTTGGAAGGAGGATAACAACAAGCCGCAGTTCTCGGAGTTGGGGCGGGCACTTCCCATTAAGCGGGCAGCTTATCGCCGGCTCGGACCACCTTGGACCCTGCCAAGCCTACTGGCAGCGACCACTCATCTAAGGCATCTCTTTGTATTCTTTTTCGTCCCTTCTTGTCTTTCACAGTCCCAGGTTGATTTTGTATAAATACTTGACGCATTTACCCCTCTCAGGTCGCTGTTACAAACCTTGGAAGACTGCCTCAAGCCATACCTAGTATGGGTGATAAGTTTACATTCTTGTACGAGAACCAATCGGTCTTTTCATCGCTCGGCATCAATCTGAAGTCTATATATTGAACTATAAATCAGGAGAAGAAGAAATCACTATTATGCCATGAACAAGTGTACCGATTGAGGGTGTATGTACGGAATATCCCTTATACAGACATGCAACTAGTACGATTAGTACTAGTACATGTTTGCATAAAGTCTTGGCATGTTTGCCGACCAAAAAGTTTCGATAACGCCGATAAATTATTTGCATCGACCGAATCCTTGGAATCTTAGGAAACCACAGCATAACAGCATAACCAGTCACAATGGGAAAAATCCTACAGAAAAAGAAGAACCGGTCTGGCTTGTCCAAGGCCCGGCCTAAGGACAACCGTCGCAAGAGTGGCAATCGCAAAATCAACATGCTGGGCAACGCTATCATCGCCGACAACTGGTACGCAGAACTTCCCTCGAGATATACCCAATTCATGCGCAAATGCAGGGACTAATTCCAATCACTTCGCAGGGATAAGAGCCTGACCCTGACTCAAAACTACAAGAACCTGGGTCTTATGCACAAACTTAACGCCCCAACCGGTGGTCGCGAACGTCTCCCCAGCAAGATGGACCCTCACGAGACCCCGAACTCGCTACACATCAGCGACGGCGGCAAGAATGTGCAAATCGAGGTTGCCGAGACAAAGGTCGAGCGCGATCCGGAGACTGGCGCGATCCTTCGTGTGATTCGCCCAGAGGACGAGATGGAGGTTGGCGGTCGCAAGCTCAAGGCCTCAAACCCGCTCAATGATCCCCTCAATGACCTCTCTGACAACGAGGAGATCCTGCATTCTGCCTCCGGCTCCGCTATTGTCCGACAACTCGAGCGCCAGGCGGATGCGGAGGGTCAAGGTGTCAAGGCGAAGAAGCCGAGGCATCAGAGTACCCGGGAAGAGGAGTGGGTGCTTCGCTTGGTTGAGAAGTATGGCGATGACTTTGCGGCCATGGCGCGTGATCGCAAGTTGAACCCCATGCAGCAAAGTGTGGGTGATCTACGGAGACGGGTTAATAAGTGCAAGAAGGCACAGGCATGAAAAAAAGACAATTTGTGAGGATTGAAAAAGGACTTTGTGTGTTTGGCATTCGGTTCGGGCGATACGGCGTTTTAATCTCGTCTACTTTCTTCTCTTTGGGAATACCTCTGCATCTCTGAGAAGACTCTTGAACTATGTATAGTGGTTTGAATTGTCAACCGGGTATAAACTAGGATATATACAAATAGGATATTGATATCATGACTCTTCATCAATTATTCAGTTATGGCCAAGGGTCGAGTATGTGACGGTGCCCCCTGGTTGAATATTATTCATGCGTTGAACGACTCGCACCCATCGCCTGCGTCGCCATTCGCCTACTCCGTAAGAAGTAGCAGCCGCCTCTTCCCAGTCTCCAGCTGGAACCCTAGCCTGCAGTTGAGGCTGCGACTGCGAGTCCATATCCAGGTCTCCATAAGCCATCGTAGTCATATCCTTCTCTTCATTAGGTGCCGAGGACTCGGTTGGGAGATCCCAGACCCAACCTCCCACTTCATCTATGACCGCCCTGCCTTCTGCAGTCACACCAGGGACCTCAAATCCAACCCCTGTGATCATGCGTTCGACCACCCACTCGCGACAATCAAGATCAAGTTCCCATTTCTTGCTCTTCCACTTCCAACCAGGGGGAGATCGAACGTCGTCGAAGAATCGACATCCCCGAGGTCGGTCACCGGCAATTCGAGATGGGGACAGCGGGTCATAGGGTTGGGGGCTGAATAGGAAATTCTCCCAGCCAGACTGCGATGTCCCTGGAGCACGATGTTGTACCTCAAATATCTCTACCTCCCGTTCCTCCGGGTCGGTGTCGACTGAAATATCGACCAACTGCTCGATGGTCGACATGGCGGCAGATGGTGATGACGGGACTGCAGCCCCGAGGAAGTCTTGATTACTCCCACCACCTTCAGGGAGAGGGAGATCTAGATTATCTAACCCATTTCCAACATCTTCCATCAATCCTTGGCAAAAGAGTCGAACTTTGGGGTTGTTTGCCAGGACTGCTGCATTGCCACCAGCCAGCATGATCAGTCTCAATGGTAATAGGTGCGCGGTCATGAAGAGCCCTGCGGCAGCCACTGTTCCGATTAGGAAGACTGTAGAGGAAAGCTTCTCGTTGGCAAAGTTAGTGAGCGGAGCAAATACGGAGATAGTTGCATCATGGACGTCTGAGAAATCGGCCATGACATTTTGCAAGTCCCGCATGTTGCGAAAGAAGTCCTTGGAGGTCTCCGGGGCAGGTTTGATAGTTGTAGCAGGGGCTAGGGCTGGCCCTTCATAGGAGTAGTAGGGGGTCGTGCTTGAAGTAGAGGTCGAGGGTGGAGGTGGGTGGCGAGTAATGAAGGCCGGGACCATAATGAACAGTAGTAGGACCACCAGAGGTAGGGCGATTAGTAGATGGGGATCAAGACATATGAAGGAGTAAGCAAATAGGAAAGATATGGTGTGAGTTGGGGTTTTCCAGCTCAACACACGCTCCACGCGATTCTGGAATAGAAAAACCACTCCAATGCTATAGACCACTGTCAGTGAATGTCTTGGTAAAGCGATATCTCTTTCCCCCCTTCCCTCCCCGTTCGCATACTGACCGTGCGTTGAAGCGGCGGAAGTTGTTTGACATTAACGGCAGACTGAATCCTGGCCGTTTGGGAGATGTTGCAAGCGGATTCCCGGCATTTGCTTCATCTTCGCCATCGTCC